GGGGAGATAATCAAGGACCCACTGTACCTCACACACACATAATAGGCATGTTTGTGGTGAACCAACTTACTGTATTTATAATTTTATGCGTGAAAAGCCAAATCATAAAACATGTAATACTAATATATATTTTAACAACATATTCATTTTGCTCTGAAATTTATGATTAACAAATTCTGGTACATAAGAACTCACTTGCATGATTCAAATTTTATAACAGAATGAACACACTGCCTACAAAACAAACAAGCAACATAACTGACACCTGCATTCCTTGCTTCAACTTGTATATGACAGAAACAAAGTGAACAATCCTGACATGTATGTACGTGGGTCATTTCATAAATAATGCACAGGTTGGCAATACTGCGGATTAGATGACGCAACAACAGTGAGCCTCACGTCAGTTACAGTTCAGGGCTTGAGAAAGAAGCACGTTATTTTGTTCCATTTATAATGTACTCTGTTCTTAATTACGTGAATTAGAAATGGAGCCTGCACAGTTCTCAGGTATTGTGACTGTTGAAGATCAAAGGTCGTACATTAAGATCGAAACTTTACATGGAAAAAACCCGACAGAAATCCACAGTGCTTTAAGTGAAGTTTCTGGCGAGTTAACAGTGGACCATAGTACAGTTTGTCGCTGGGCTGGTCGTTTTCGTGCCGGTCGTGTGAGCATAAAGGATGATCCAAGGCCAGGAAGGCCAAAAACATCAAGAGATGAATGAAGTGTGAAACTTGTGTCAGATGCTCTTGAAGATCGTCATGCGACATGTGAGGAACTTTCTGAAACCACGGGGATTCCACCAACGTCAATATTCCGAATTCTGACAAATGATTTAAAGAAGAGAAAGATTACTGCGCAACGGGTCCCTCACTGCTTGACTGCTGAACAGAAGCAGGAACACCTTGACATTGCAACCTTGCTGAAACAAAGATCTGACATTGAAGGTCAAGCATTCTTGTATCGACTTGTCGCTATTGATGAAACGTGGGTTAGAGACTTTGAACCGGAGCTGAAATCACAGTCCAACGAGTGGAGAGGTCCATCTTCCCCATGGCCAAAAAAATTTTGATGATCTCAATCAAAGGTCAAACAAATGATGATCTTTGCTTATGATCACCAAGGAATCATCATGACAGAGTTCCGCGCGGGAAAAGTGTCACAGCAGTTTATTATCGTGACTTTGTGCAAAATCTGCACAGAAAAATGCACAAAAACCGACCTCAGTTGCTCGAGGCTGGGCCGATCATTCTTCATGACAACACTCGCCCACACACCAGGAATGTCGTAACAGAAAAGCTGCGCCAATACGGTTGGGAGGTGTTGCCTCATGCTCCCTACAGCCCAGACATGAGCCCACCAGACTTCGACTTATTCCCAAAGTTGAAACAACCTATGCGAGGCCGTTGTTTTCCCTCTCTGGAAGAGCTTTCTGCTGCAGTTACCCGAGCCTTCAACAGATAAACAAAGATGGTGTCCTGGATGGAACAGTAAAGCTTCCCACACGTTGGGACTATCATTGAGAAGCAGGGGGACTATATTGAAGGACTGTAAAGAGATATAAAAAAATAAATAAATAAACATGGACATAAACAAAAAACTGTGTGTATTATTTCTTAAATGACCTACGTAACAAAATGTACTTAAAATAATACATTTTCCTTCACCCATTCATGCCCCAATAATAATTTTAAGAAAGACACAGTCCAGGTTTTCAGGAATGGCCATTCTTAACAGAATGTACAATGGATATAGCTGAGTTCACTGAGCTAAAGTTTGTAGGATGTATACCAGTTATAATAGGGTCTTAGTTGCAGTCTGTCAAACACACTCAAGCCAACAATGCAGCTGTAATCATTGGCTCACTCCTTCTTGCCAAACTTCTCCTTAGGCACAAGTCACAAGCTACGTATAAAAACATGGCCTGTACCTGCCAATGCATCTCAGGTGGATTAAGGTCGAAGGTAAAAAAAAAAGATCAAGATAACACAAAGAATCCATTAAGTGACATCCCAAATTAAAGCGCCATAAAATATTATGGTGGGAGGATTTCCTGATTTGTATATTTAACAGATCATGGACCTGACTGTTAAACAAGTGGCCAGATATAATGAAAGAGGTTGCTTACCTTATCCTGTTCCTGCCCAGTACCTCAAAACAACACAATTCTCATTCCTTCACAGTTCATCCTAAGTTATCATTCTCTGATGTGGTACTGTAATCATTTATAAACCTGAGATTAAGTAATGAAAAAATCATGATATTAACATAAATACACACCTCTGCAGAGCTGTGTGATCATCAGATCGGAAAAGTCCCTCTCTGTCTTTGTTGAAATTGAAATGTACTAGCATCTCCTGGCCTGGTCCTGCTGTGGTGAAAGCTACTGCCGCAGCTGCATGCTGCTGCTGCTGAGCAGACATATCACTTTCCTCACTGTTCTCTGGTGACTAGAAGGACAAGTATCATTATTAATAACTATAACTGTAACTATAAAACACTCTAAGAACTTCTGTTAACGTCTACTAAAGGTGCCTGTTACAAACACACAACAAACCCTGTGGTTTTAGTCCACAAGCGAACTATACTGATGAGTGACTGCTGCCTGTCAGTGAAGTTGGTGCCAACTTTAGTGGATAGAGGGTGTTGCACGGTCAGCGTCACCAATCCCAATGGCCGTTAATTTCGGTTTTCAATACCAGAGCCGCTATTTCCTTGAGACAGCTCCTCAATTATCCTCATGAGGCTGAGTGGACCCTGTTCCAGACCCACTACTTCTCAAAAATTCTGGTAGCACCAGGAATCGAACCTGAACCTCTTGATATGTAGCCAGAAACTCTGACCACTAGACTACAGTGGCGGTCAGTTCTTTCAATTAACAAAGTAGGTAAGATAATAGTAACTACAATTTCGCTGCTGCATGAAACTGACCTGATGATGCCTAGCAGATATAACCTTGTTTGCAAAGTCTGTCTCGCTGCACTGGGTGCTTCCATCTTCCACCTTTGCTGTTACTTGTGCAACAACTGGGTTTGTGTCAGTGGTGCGTGTGCTAGCAGTAGTGCACTCATAGCTGTAGCATGCCTCTGTGGCTGCTGCCTCCACTACTGTGGGTCCTGCAGATCCAGGCTGCATCTAGAAACAAATTCAATTCACATGTAATAATCACTACAAAGAAGCACTTTTTTTTTTTTATTGCTAGTGGGGTGGGACTAAGTCCCTTGTGCTGCGGCCACTTCTGGCCTATTGTACCAGCCCCAGATGATAGGTGAGGGTGAGTGTGGAGCAACTGGTGGAATGAAGATTGGCAGGGGAAACCGAAGTACTTGGAGAAAACTTACCCCAGCGCCACTTTGTCCACCACAAATCCCACTTGACCAGACCCAGGATCGAACCTAGGCCGCCGCAGTGGGAAGCCAGCAACTAAAAGCTTGAGCTATGGCGCGGCCTCAAAGCACGTTCACAAGAGTCAGCAAGACATAATTAAAAGAATCTCAAGCATATGAAATGGCGAAAATACATAACAAATCTGACAAATCCATTTCATGCATATTCTTTTCACATCTTTATAATGAAGCCGAACGGAGCTTAGGACTGCCCTTAGGTAACCCAATTTAGGACCTCTCTTACCCAGGAATGCACGCTATAACTTGTGCGCAATAAGCTAAGGGACTTCACCACACGAATGACGACGTACAGTATCAAGTCAGTGGGAATCCCAAGAGCTTTGGTTGCATTTTTCCTTAAGGGCAAGCAAGGCAAGACCTTATTGGTCAAACTCAAAATAATTAGTTTATTTTAACCAATCAGCTAGCACTACCCAAGTAATGAAACTATGAGATGGAATTTGCGTGGGTTGGCTTCACCACGCTTTGGCGAAGCTGACGCCACGCAGACACACAAAAGTGGGGCATTGAATAGGGTAGACGTGTCCGAGAGTGGAAGACACAAAAGTGGGGCACTGAATAGGGTAGACGTGTCTGAGAGTGGAAGACACAAAAGTCAAACCTCGAGCAGTTTAGACGTGTGCGGATATACTCTGAGAATTGTATAAACAAAAGAATATCCGTAAAAAGTGGGTTATAGCAGTGTAACAACCCCCTATAAGTGTAATCAAAGTGTAAGAGTGAATGAATAAAAGCAACCACAAATCGAGTTAGTCTGGCATTCAATAAATAGGGTCACCCCGAATGTAACCCGTGCAACACCCTGAGAGGGTCTCATGCCCTACCAGGAACTCCTAGGTTTCCTCCACCCCACTGATGCCCAACCTACCCTGAGATAAAACAAAAGTGGTAAAAGGGGAAACGGGAGTGACCGAAAGAAGAAGCAGCAGCAGCAGCGGTGACGGGAAGGACGCTACGGAGAAGGGACGGTTGCAATAAGTCAGACACCGTTTGGCAGGAGTATTCATGGCCATATCACATTTCAAGGCTCTAATGGCAGTGACTACAAACAGCATCATGTTCTGGGATGTTACACAGTGTAGTTTGTCAGAAATTTACTAATGTTTCCTAGGACTGTATTGCCTCCATATTCATGGTCAAAGAATAAGCCATACAACCAAAGAAACAAAGCAAACAACTGAAAACATTGTGCCAATTCAAAACTTTACTGCTATATCAACAAATTTTACATACAGGCTATACTTACATCATAACATCTTCACTAAAATAACAAAATAAATTGGTCTGTAAGACTAAAATTCTGTGCAATATGAAAGTAAGCTTTATTACTTCTGCTTGGAGCTCCTTGTTACATTTTGAGGTTCTTGGCCTTGTGGCCAGCTATCCCGACCAAGACTTTTCATGGTTTTCATCAGTCTATCTAGGCAAATGCTATGATAGTGCCTCAAATTAGGCCCTCTTAACTTCCTCCCTCATCTTTTCCCAGTTGATTATTCATTAATCATAGAGTAATTTCATGCTACATAATCTGTACTGAAAGTGACTGAAAATAAATAAATAAGAAATAAATAGGCGAGAGAGAAACCCCTATGCCTAAGTTGGCAATCCAATTCTTGCAGGCCAGTTTGCATTCAGCCACTTTACTGACTGAGCTATCATGGCTCCTTCCAAACAACCTCATTCATTCTTTCATTCATTGTTGGAGGAGGCGGGTTTCCCCATGCACTTAGACCAGTTATTGGTCCATTGTGAATCCCCCTTTAATTTCTACTGTCTCCATACCCTACCGGTACTGGTGCCCGTTATCAGCCCCTTTCTGCCAGCGAGGTCGGCCCTCTACTTGCAGTGGTATCTGATAATTAGTCCCTTTCTGTCAGCGAGGTCGGTCCTCATCTGGCAGTGGTACCTAATACTTTCCCCATCTACTGGAGGCATTGGAAACTGCTTGGGCGGGAAAATTTGCCTAATTTAGCTCAGAGGTCTCCTAGAGACATGAGGTTCTTTTACGTGCCGTAAATCTATGACACGGGACCCACGGCTTAAAGTCCCTCCCGGAGGACTTGTTCCCGAATTTTTTCCACCCTTAAAATTTACATGACCTCCACCAGGTTTGAACCCGCGTACCTTGAGTCATGAGGTGGGAACGTTACCCCTAGACTACGGAGGCCGCTTCCAAACAACCTCACTGCAAGCTGTGAATTTATGAACACTCACCTGCATGGCACATTTATATTGCTGAACTCTGGTTCCATCTGCATCACTCACAATCTGAATACCAGCTGCCTGGACTAGACTGTTTAAACCATCTGTGGCAGCCGTCAGAGGCGCTCCAGCCTTGTTGTGCTCGTGTTTCTCTACATCAGAGTTGGCTGTTGTTGCAACAGCCACAGATGTAGTTGCCTTTTTCTTCGGTGGACTCTCATCCTTCACATATACCTGCAATTATAAGGAAAGAAAACTGTTAAAACTGAGCGTAATACAAGCTATAAACAAACAACAACCCAAGTTTCTGTTACAAAGTACATGAAGACATTTCTTACAATTTAAGAACCTGAACATTTATATTTATAAAATAGTTAAAAGAAGCTTGCTTAGGATGGACTTCCAACAGAAAAGTGGACGTTGGAAAAACAGAACTCATCATACACTAAAACAAATAGAGAATAAGAGCAAGACATACAGGATTCACTGAAGATAATGTTCATATACCATTTCTAAGCATTCGCTGCAGCAGTAATACAGCAGTAAAGTGGCTGTCAAATCTTTCAACATAATCTTGTCAGTATTAGAACATCAGAGCAAACAAAAAAGCCAACACAAAGTAGTAGTTTAAAATAATAATTATTGCTGCCTACTAATACACAGGATAGTCATGTAAAGATACAAACACAGTAAAAGTATGGAAAATATATTACCAATTTACCTACCACCTAACAACCTGACTGACTACTCACATCATATTGGTATCCAAAGTTTCAGTGTATCTACCCTGAAGATGGGTGCAGTATGTTCCTTTAAAACAGAGATTACCAACAACCAGACTAAATGATATCACATCGGACCACTGCTTATGAAAGCCTGTCTTTGGTTCTGACTCTCAGAAAATTCAATCCAACACAACGAAACTCATATCTAAATGCTTAGCATTCCTGTTTCCTATTCAGGAGATTCCATGTTAGAAACTCAACACAGAGACCAGCTATCCTATCTTGTGGTTCTTCATGGTTTTCCTTGGGCACTCAAGACAAGTTGTGGGATAGTATCTTAAATTACAGTATGGCCACTTCTTTATAAATCATTACCAGAAACAGGTAACAATTCTCTAATTCCTATCACTTAAAATTATACAATATGACCATTGCAAGTCCATTAAATATACCACAAGTAAATAAAATAAAAACACAGTATCGTCAGTCCAAATAATTATTGCAATTCAGCCTGAGTAAGTGGTCAAACAGATGGTAAAATGCCTGCATGAAAAATATATCTAGATTCAAAAGACTCTTCAACAAAACCATTTTACTTACTATTATTTTAAAATGCTATTGAAAAACGATATCCTCACACATGCAAGCACATTTCACAACATTAATTTGGACTATGCCACAGCTCAGGCAGTAAGCCATCAGCCACTGTGGCAGTTCAGGTTTAATCCAGTCAGGTAATGTGGAATTTGTGGTGTGCAAAGGGGCACTAGGATGAACTTTCTTCAAGTATAGTGGTTTCCCCTGAGATTTCTCACTCTCATCCCATCAAGTGCTCCACATTCAATAATCATCCTATCAACCAAACTATAGAGCTGTGACACTAAGAGTCATTATAAAAAATGTGAAAAAGAAAAACAAAATTTGTGACACAGATTTGCCTTCCTCGATTTCTAAATAAAATTCTGAATACTAATATGACTGATGTCTAATATGTCTATATATTTTCTACAACCTTTCTGCTTTATAAAGAGCTCCAGCTTCTGGAATATAATGCTGCACAGTCTAGTGAAGGTAACTACATTCCAGGGGAACATATACTGTCTCCATCTTCCAAGCCCTGCTTGCTGATTTCTTGCTTAGCTCACACTTCAACCCTGAAGATGAAGGCAGTATGTTCCCCCAAAACATCAGCAGTCCTTCACTTGGCTTCACAGGGTTATATCTCTAAAGACTGAACTCTTCACAGCCACTGTTGTGAGAACCTTAAGTCCATCATTTCTGCTTTGTTTCTCCCCAAAACTCACATGCTTTAACAATGCCAGTACAGTGTACAGGTATCAAGTTCTTGTTACGTATTTTTTTGGTTTCTTACTTCATACATCCCCCTTAAGCGTGCCCACTTTCCTTAGACTTCTGCATCCAATTACCTGTATGCTAAACTTATATTCTTTTCCTCTGAGTGTAGACAAACACATAGAACAAATAAGCAAAATACATAATTTATATCTATCCAATTCAAGGTCCTTAAAAGTAGAAAAGTAAATTTCTGAATAAAAATAACCTAAATTTATTCCGATCTTACATCATGAACCTCAGTTATAATCAGAGCTGTATAAATCGTGGTGCCTGTCTGCAATGACAGAGAAATTAATGGAGACCAGTGACAAGTATAACAATATTTGCATGAAATGCACTGCTTAGCCTACTGACGAATGTATTTTCACACGTGGTCACCAGATCTAAACTGTATTCCTGGAGCTCTGATTATATTTACTATTTCTGCAATTGAACAAACTTTAATTTTGTAAACATTATTCACTGTGTTCATTTCTTTTACGAAACATTTTGGAAACTGGATTTGTTTCCACTATTAGGCATGCCTGATAAATAATGTCCAAAAAATTAACATTTATCTTTCAAATTATATTTCTTGCCATCAGTTCTTATACTTATAAAAAAAAAAGTAAAAAGTAAAGCTATCCCTGTACCAGGACGTGGAGGCCCATAGGGTTGTGAAACGTTGTGGGTCCCACATTATCTAGACAGTCGGCTCAAAGATGGTGGTAAGGTCATCAGCCTTAGGTGCCAGCCGCGCTTTACTCCCCAGGAAAATTATTTAATTAATTCCTGGTACTCATTTCTGTTAGAGGCTGAGTAAACCCCAGGGCCTACTGCAGCTGATAGGATTAGGTCAACTGAAAAAAGATCCAATGACCTCATCGGGACTTGAACCTGCGACCTTCCGGCTTGTAGCATAGCCCCTCAACCAACTACGCAACTTCATATACTAATATCTTGGCAAATATTTTCATCATCTATTACTCCTGTAATATTAAAAGCATCATTCAAGGGGTAACGTGGGCTCTTTCTCAAGAAGCAGCTGAAGCATGAAGCTGACAACTAATATCTTACGTGTAGGTTTTCACAGCACTCCACTTAAGCACAAGGCAACTTTATCTTACTTCACAACAGGGCCACACCATAGCTCAAGCGGTTAGTCGCTGGCTTCCCATCACGGTGGCCCGGGTTTGATCCCGGGTCTGGTCAAGTGCGATTTGTGGTGGACAAAGTGGCGCTGGGGCAGGTTTTCTCCGAGTACTTCGGTTTCCCCTGCCAATCTCCATTCCACCAATTGCTCCACAATCACCCTCACCTATCATCTGGGGCTAGGACAATAGGCCAGAAGTGGCCGCAGTACAAGGGACTTTGTCCCACCCCACTAGCAATAAAAAAAAATACTTCATCACAGATGTCACATAACAATAAAACACACTTTTTTCAATAAATTCATTGCAAGCTTAACTAATCAGTTACTAACAAAAACTGAAATGAAAATACATAGTCTTAGACCTATTGTTATTTGGCTATCACATAAAATCTGTGTGTAAATATTCATAGCTGTTCATAATTCTAAATTTTGAGAAGGAAATTCAAAAACAATACTGCTACAATTACCTTTCCTTCACGTGTGAAGTCATCTGAAAAGCGAAGAGATGTGAAATAGCTCTCCAACATAGCTTCCGCATTGACACAGGATTCCCGAAAGTCATAAAAACTTTCCAATTTGTCCACGCAATGACTGCAGATAATCTTGGGCAATGAATCATCTTCACATACCTGAACAAAATTACAATAAATTGCAAGATAATGTACCATAAACTTTGATATACAATTTAATATCAGTGAATAACATGAAGTTTCATTTCAAGTACACAATGTAATGCAGTAAAGGACACCAATGTGCTGCATCCACAAGCCTCGAAGGAAAATTATGTCACCTCAGAGCTTGTGTAATGTGCTGACATCCTGAAATTTACATGTTCTTCCACCTTTACACCCACACAAAAATAAGAAAATTAATTAAGGGTGAGATTCATATATGATTAACACAAACCTTTCCTCATTTGAGGTTTTAACTGTGTTTTAAGTAGTGATAATACTATCATGTGACACGGCTACTCCACTGATAGACTGAATAAAAGTAAAACCTGTGATCAAATTTCTTCTTCTGCAGTCAAAGGATGTGAAATCCAGTGAAATATATGGAAGAATGATAATTACTTTTTGCAATAAATGCATAAGCAAGAGGACAGTATATAAATGGAACTATTCGATGGTAAGCAAATCAGTGCTGCTGATTACATCTAAAATATACATCAATCACAAGCCTGCCTACAATACAATTCACAATGAGTTGCATATTGAGAAGTCTGTGTATGCTTGACTTTCAGATGAACAATTATCTAAATGCCAAATACAGTTACATGTTGGGTACCAGTCTGAAGCATCACTTCATCAGAATCCTACGGACTGCTTTCAAGATTAGTTCTTCTGCTCCACAATAATGCTCGCCTTCATGCAGGTGCTGAAGCCACTGTAAATGTGACATGTGAAGACCAGCTGGTTAAATCAATTCCCAGGTTATATAACAAGGATTTTCCAATTGTATTGAGATCACAAAGCATAGAATTGGTTGTCAATGATGAACTGGAAACGATAAGGGCGAGATTGCGGCCTATTTTAAGATTATATCCTAGCACCTGCATGGAGTAACTGGAGAAAACCATAACTCAATCACGATATCTGGTATCTGTGGCAAAATTTGAATCCAGGTCCTCCCAAACATGACGTTGGGGTACTATCACTAAACCACTATGTTCATGAAGAACAGCTATTTGTGGAAGCAAACAATTGGATCAGTGTTGGGACCTTTACTCTTTAATATATACTAAAATGATTTCCCCATTGAAATAAGTAAAATTTTGGAAGTTATTATGTTTGCACTAGTATTCTCTCACGGCTAAAGACTACTATAATTTTAAAATAAAATTGGATGTTGTTTTTAATCACATGTTTATGTGGTGTCAAAATAATCAATTTGTGTTAAATCTGGATAAAACAAAAATGATAAAATTCACCCCAAGAGCAGCTACAAGCTACCCTCTATGTACAATCTTTTTTAACAAAAAGCTGAAAAAAGGAGAAATAATAAAATTTCTCAGTTTGCAACTGGACAGTCATCTGACTTGTAAGGGACATATCGATTTTTTGCTTCACAAGTTGAGCACAATTGGTTTTCTGATGCGTAAATTATCCTACATATTAAATCTAAATAGTCTTAAAGCTGTATATTATGCATATTATCATTCATTGGTGAAATACGGAATAATATATTGGGGAAATACATCAGACAGTCATAAGGTCTTTGTTATACAAAAGAAAATAGTAAGAATAATGATGGAAGTGGGCCCAACTCATACATGTAGAGATCTATTTAAAAAGCTTGACATATTACCAATCCCATGTGTATATTTGCTCTCATTGATGATATTTGTTGTTAATAATTTGGATAAATTTCAGACCAATAACTCTGTATATGTCATTGGTACCAGAAGGAATGACCACCTTCATATACCTTCAACACATTTATCATCCTGTCAGAGGGGTGTATTATTCAGGCGTCAAGCTATTTAATACTCTGCCGTCAAATATTACAGTCTTAAAAAATGATAAAAAGCAATTTAGGTTCGTTTTACAAAATTATTTGCAAAGTAACTCATTTTACTCTATTGACGAATTTGTCAAGCATGCAAGGGGCTCAAATTTTAAGAGGTAACAAATGATCTGTGCACTTGTATTATACATTGTTGAGACTTGCTTGTTGTAAGTGTGGTATTATGTATGATGTTTGTGTTTGTTATGAATTTTAATATGTTACAATGAAACTGTACTGATAGGGCCTGCAGCATAAAGTTGTTATGGTTGAAAATATGAGGGATTTTGTTCAGGGTCGAATTTGACAGTGGTTTTTCCACGACCTATGTGTGCTGTCTGCATGAGGCCTCATTATATATTTTACTGGACCAAGGACATATGATATGTAGTCATCATGAATGTGTAATGTGTGACATGTTCTGTATCCAGCCCTACAGGAAGATGATTGGATCCATGAAGTGGATGTAAACTGTCAAAGTGAATATTTATTACAGACATGATGAAGTAGTATGGTTTCTACTTTGCTTAAATGAAGCAGGGAAGACCCTAGTTTGTTGAATGAGAACAGAAATTGTCTCCCATCACCCTACTAGAATATACCCGTGAAATAGTTTGGTTTCTTGAATCAATAACAGAACCCTTTCAAATTTAAAATAATTACATAAAATATTAAAATAACCCATCCACTGATGACTGGGTATATGATCCAGCATACATTATATTAGTACACGACAACACACATAACCTCTGTTGACAGCACAGAGAATTCATGGGAGCCTCATTCTAAATTGAGGCTATAAAACAATATATATGTGAAAAGGAGTTTCGACGTCTCTACCCTACTTCCGATATATTGCATCTAATGTAGGGCGATTCCCTTTGTATAAAACTAGCACACATCCACCCTTCATGTAATTATTATGTACGTTAAGTACCAACACGCTTGAGCATTTGTGCTGACACTGGGTTAATAATACGCGATGTGTTAGAACTGCTTCAAAACAAGGCATTTGTGAATCGGGTTGGATTAAGCAGACATTGTGAATTTTGTACTGTTCATAAGCTTACACGTTACACATGTCTAACTTCTGTGAATAAGGCGTACGTACCTGAAGTGGTAGACAGATCTGAATTTTTGTTGGGAGTTGCCTTCGACGTCCCTCTTCGCGGAATATGTGCATTTTGGTACCTTCACTTGATGTACAAAGACGACAAAGTTCGTAATAATTCACCCTTCTGTACCCTGCCATTGCCTTAAAACTGGCTTAAAGCTAACACAGCACTTGATGAGATTAATTATCATTAAAATACTCCAAAAGAAAAAAACATTTCCTTCTTGTTGAAATTGCATCGACAAATTTTATTGAGAACTGTGACGTCGACGCTCTTTTACAATCGATTCGTAAAAATCGATACAATGGTTGTGTGATCGAGTGGCATGGAGTTGGTGACGTTGGAGGCGTTGGAGTTGGTGACATCGAGTTGATCGGGAGCGAAGATCCGTGTTTGGCAATTAACGTCCGTGGTGGCCGTGTTGGCTGAAAGACCTGAAAGACTAAGGCATTGCAACATAAATAGTTAGCGATATCGATATCTATTAAGCGATAGTAATGGATAGTTAATCCCAGTACATTCCAGTGGCTAGCCACTTAGTTTCTTCAAATTCTATTAGATAGCGGCACAGAACTATGTAGTTATAATTAACAAAACTTTCATACGAGATGGCAGATGGTGATACGTTCCAAGTGAACCTCATGCTAATTATTTTCACCTCACTCGACAAGAGAGCAGCACGAAAATACATGAATTGTTGTGACAGTTAGCGTTCTTACATACGAGATCGCGGTTGGTGATACGTTTCATGTACCTTGCTGTGTGTCAATAACTAAATCGTCTCGAACACAGAGCAGAAGGGCAAATCAATGCTATTGGCGGGCAACATAGCCGTCGTGACGTCATGAAAGCATCACTGCTGCCGCAGTGTCCGGGGGATACTATTTTGATACAAAATGGCTGCCGCCAGTGCCGAGAGCTAGGTCGGTAAAAGGGTATGCTATGATACCGCCAGCCTTTGTGTACTGCTCCCTCCCCAACAACCACTAATTCACATGAATAGCTACAAATCGCAACCCTGGCCTTTTGTACTTCAGAGGTGGTATGGTAGCATTCTATTTTATGGTCATGCTATCGGTGCTGGTGGCCATTTCTTATTTAGTTTGTGGACGATTGCGTAAAGATGGCAGCAGTAATGCAATCCTGGGTATGGGTGGTGGTAGGGGATGCGGACGAACGGTTAAATCGAGAGCAAATCTAGCAAATAGAAAGCGTTAGGCAGTGTTGAAAATTGGCGTTTGAAATGTAGATGATGTGTATATAGCATTTTTCGGGCAATACAAACACTCCATCATAATCCCTAACTCAAGAATATTCTTATAACCTGTACAGCCTGTGTTTTTTTTTATCTGACAATTACTGTTTTTGTTTTCATTTGTGGGATTACAGCATGTGTACAAAATGGCGGTAGGAGGTGATAATGGATAGGTGTTGCTATTGTTTGTGGTCTCGTCAGTTGCTTTTCTATGTTTATACTGGCTCTTTGTAAACAGCCACACCAGTATTTATCGTTAAAAGGAAATGACGGCTTGAAGTATATCATGAAAGTTCATATGTGGTAATTGGAAGGCGGCTTTTGTTAAATTTGTTGAGAATCTTTCAAGGTGGTTAAATTATTTGCAACAATGGAATGGACAGGCTATGTTCACATTATAACCCATGATGTAATATTTGGGATGTAGAAATTGTGCAAAAAGCCACCATGTCATGCGGCCCAGATAATTACATGGAGCTGTGTAGACTTTGTGCATGCTACGATGCCATCAAAATGGAAATATTTGGCGAGGAAGGGAGGGAAAGAAATTTGGTTGACAAAATACAAACATGTCTCCCATTACAGGTACTGTATACTTTTTTTGCTATATGAGTATGTTAACTAGAATGTGTTTGCATGGGAGCAACTGCTGTGTGGGATAAGTTTGTAATTAAAAGCGTGTGTATCATTTGTGCTGCATAATATGATGGATAAAATGAAAGTTGCATCCATCAGGCGAAGAGTTCTGAGCCAGATGTGCAAGTAAATAAAATTATAGTTGATGATGTCCTCGTTTTTAGTTAACCACATACTGTAAATTTTTGTCATGACATAGTACCCAGTGACTTTATGTTATGCATTTGAGATTACGTTTTGGGAGTTTCTTTGTGTTTATCTAGCATATTTCTAACTTCTGTTATATGTCAGCATTTGGACGTGATTGTACTGAAGCATCCTAGACGCTGTGCTGAAGTGTCTGAATGCCATAGTTGGCTGTCCTTCAGTATGGGTCCAGGTAGCAGCCTGCAGACTAATGCAGGTTGACAAGAATAGAATGGAGTAGAGTAGAGATATGAATGATGAAGTGGTGGGTTATGAATGAGATGATGGATGAATGGGTTTGTTAAAACTTAATGTTGTCACATGAATGTTAGTTTTCTTTACCACTGTTCGGTCAGTTCCATGCTTTTACCTGAGGCTGATGATAAAATACTGTCACATGTAGCAAGTCCCGATGAGGTCACTGGATTTTTTCAATTCACCTAACCCTTCCAGCTGCACTATGGCCCTGGGGTCGACTCAGCCTCTAACAGAAATGAGTACCGGGAATTAATTAAATAATTTTCCTGGGGAGTAAAGTGTGGCCGGCACATAAGGCTGATAACCTTACCGCCATCCTTGAGCCGATTGTCTAGATAATGTGGGACCCTCAATGTCTCACAACCCTATGGGCCTTCACGGCCTGGTACAGGGATAGCTTTACTTAGGGTGGTACACATGACGAAAATAACGGGTTCTAAATCAGATGATTGGATTTATTAGCACCTTAGTTACAAGTTCGCGTAATAACACTTAAATACAGTGATGTCACTAATTTACACAACTTCCAGTTCACTGTTGCACATACTAGGATTGTCCATCTTCACTAGTCATCTCCTGGCAATAGATCTCAACTCAGAAACAAGCACTTCAATTCACTATGAAGTCTTCTTGCTATTTCGTCTTCATTCACTCTGGAATCTCAGAACTAAAATTTCTTCTGGACTCAGTTCTCAAGCTTATGACTGGGTTGTAACTGCCCTGAATGAATTCAAAGTCATATTCATATTGCAGCTGACAGTCAGTCAGTAATTCTTGGTGTCAAGCCCCATCATATGCTGTTGACCCATGCCGGCACAGTCTTCCTTGGGTCCAAGTCCCTTGGGACTCGCGACCTTATTTTACTGTCTCAGATTTGAGACTTCCCTTTTTGTCGCCTCCTATGGCTTCTAGGGTTACGGTGGAGGTATTCAACCCCACCTCCACACGGGTGTGCTCCTTGATTTGAATGAATTCTGTCACTCCCTTTTCTTATAAGCACTGCACAAACCCCATGGAAAACACCGTCTCTGTTGATGACGTCTCCACTTTCATAGCATGGCCCAATACACAGAAGTGTGTTTCCCAAGCCATTGCTTAGAAACAGGTTGCATAACCACATTGTTCCACTGCTGCTGAATACAGACGACAGAAAAAACAGCCTCATCTCTTGTGTTGGACCGTGTTTACAGAGCTGTTGCCTGGCAGCGCGTTGATCAAATCTGTTACAGTATTGTTTCATAGAAGCCTTCAGTGAATGGTGTTAAGTTAATGTAGGTTTAGAATAGTGTATGACAGTTACAGTAACGAGTAAAACCCTATTTCAGTAACAGACTAGGACCTTAGGTTTGTCTTGTTTGTGTTACATTTATTAACTAAGCAGAGCTTAGTCATTACATGATATACAATCATCTTGTGTTAACACTGTTTATTTTATTGTCTTTATTTTATATGAAGTCTGTCACTGTGCATGTGTTAGGTTAAAACAGAACTTTTTGGGATGCTTTGTGGGGAAGGTAACTTGCAAGACCATGAAGTAAATAGATAATGTAAAAGTCAACCTCATGGTAATTGATGAAAGAGATTGTAGTGACAATAATTGCATTCAGCTTTCTTAGAATATGGTAATTCAGTAATTTATTACTGTGGCAAGCTTCCTTTGGTTCTGAAATTGGTATTTGATAGTCTGCATAAAATTTGTTCGGAAATGAATGAGTCCATTCCCAGTGTTGGCATACAGCATTTTCTTCTAATAACAGTATTCTAACAATAAAAATAGCAATTATGGTATTTTTTAGTAATTTATACATATTTCTTGAAATTGTCATCTTTTTCATGGGTATTTTTGTGGCACAGTTTAGGATGTCACCATATTCATTAAACCTTCAACAGTGCAAGACATGTAATTTCTGTTCATGGGGACTGAGGATATTTAAACATTTTACTGAAGCTGTAAGAGATCAGGAAAAGTTGGAATTGTTTTTATCAAATTTTGACAGTACATTCAGAGAAGTATGTAGAATTTGAGTATTGATCCACACTACTTTATAGTTATATTTGGCACAGTAAGCTGATGAAATGTATGAATAATTGTATTGTTTTACCTCAGAAATTGTGCTTGGTGTGATGGTTGTGTAAACATTGTATGCACAAGTTCCTTGTCACTTGTGTTACACTAGTACACAGCATCCTTTCTGTTCCCACACTTCTAACACACAGAACATCGTTACAAGATCAACAATTTTTATGCTCTTTGAAATAATGACATTATCTACATGAAAATATGTTTTTCCATTAACATCATATTGTTACATTATGGTTGTCCTTATATGAACACTAAGAAAAGAAAAGAAAAGATGCTCTATTTTGATGCGGTAATTCAGTATGCGAACTGTGACATAATGCATAATTTTTGTGTCCACATTTGAAATTAGTATATCAGAACTTGTTTTAAAAAGTTTTTCTTATGTGATATCAAACCCTTGTTAACTAGTGGAATCAAATATAGTTAACCCTCAATAATCCAGGTTAATTGGGGGAGAGGTCATCAGATTAAGCAATAATCTGGATTACTGAAGCAAAAGGTAGCCCTAAGAGACAAAAAACTTAAGAACAGAAATAAATGGAAAATTTAATGATATAAAATAAACAGAGAAATGTCACTCTAGAGACCTTATTTATAAACTATAAAACACCATTACATTTCTTCTTCGATAGAAGACTCAGAAGCTGTACCTGGTTTTGAACATAATAATGCAGGTTTGAAGGAACTGTCAAATTTTGTCTGAACAGACAAGTGACTCATCTGCCTTCCTAAATGCCATGTGTCTTTTTAAGTAGGTACTGAACTGTGAACATCATTTTTAGTGTTTCGATCCAGATTGTCTGACATCAGGATTAGCAAGGGTTTACTGTATATACAGAGAAACCTTTTTATGAGGGCCATACCATAGCTCAAGCGGTTAGTCGCTGTGTTTCCACCGTGGTGGCCCAGGTTTGATCCTGGATCTGGTCAAGTGAGATTTGTGGTGGACAAAGTGGCGCTGGGGCAGGTTTTCTCCGAGTACTTCGGTTTCCCCTGTCGATCTTCATTCCACCAAATTGTCCACCATCATAATCAACTGGGGCAGGCTACAATAGGCTCATCACTGGCCACCGTGCCAAGTGGACCCAGANCCCCCCCCCCCCAAGTGAATGATAATTTTAACCCTGTTATGATAAAAATTGAATTCTCTATGCTGCTGATTACTGACCTGGTAAGGTATTCCTGCACATGGTAAGAAAACAAGCCAATATGCCATGTTGTACAGGAGCTCTGAACTTATACCTATTAACATGAGAACTTATATTGCAGAATGTACTGAAAATGTCTGTCCAAAGCTTCATCATGGTTTGAGCCTTCTAGAAGCGTTTCAGAATGCACACAGAAGCTTATCACACCCCAAGCCAGTCTTAAATTAATGTATTTAAGTGTACACCTATATATGAAGATTATTTTCTCACACTTGTCTTTAGAGCTTGGTCATGGCCAGCTGCACAGTTGTTCTTAAATACATTTTCTCCATAATTAACCCTTTGGTGCGGTCATTTAAATTCCGCGGCCGCGTCTCCGGCGGTAATATATTCAGCCGGCCATTTAAATTTTGCTCGAAAATGATTTATTCATCATTGTTCTTAAATTCTATGAGATAGGAACATGAAACTTTCACTAAAATGATCTTAAAAGGTGGTTTTATAACCTTACCTTATAATATGAGCGCCCTGTATCTCGGCAATGGAGGCAGGTTGTTTAGTATTTGAGCAGTGAATGGTACGCCTTGAAGCATGAAACTTTCACTAAAATGATCTTAAAAGATGGTTTTTATAACCTTACCTTATAATATGAGCACCCGGTATCTCGTCAAAGGAAGCAGGTGGTTCAGAATTTGAGCAGTGTAAGGAAGGCCTTGAAGCATTCGTGTAACCCAACGGTGCCCCACATTCATCGCTCCAATATTGTGTATCTTTTCTTTTGCTCTTTTTTTTTAACCACACAGCTTCTGTGCGGCCTTGCCTTCTTCCCCGTGAGGGGTATAGTTCAAGGAAATGTCTTTCCGTGAGCAGTTTAGCTAGTCAGGTCAGCTGCAGTAAATTCAACGTTACGAGTTATCATAACAAGGGGTTGTTGCTATGCCTTTGATATTCCATCCATTTTGGCGGCAGTAGATGTCGTAGGGGTGATCACAGAATTCATGAAGTTATTCTAAGAACTGGCTGGTATGTAGTGCACGAAAGCAGAGCTTAGCTGGCTCAAAAAAAATATTTATGGTCATCCCTCGAAACGACCACCAAGGTCAGTACGATAAAATGGCGTCAACTGGAGCGATAATACATGAAGGAATGAGTTCTTTTCCCACCCCACACACACCAGTATCGTCATAGGGGGTGACCATAGTGTTCTGCCTTAATTCGTGGCGTTTTTCTAAGAACTGGGTGCTATGTACTGTGCGAAATCAATCGATGTTGCAAGAATAAATTTTTGGACATCCCTCTTCTAAGAATTACAATTGAGTGTGTTAGTGTGGCCAGCTCAGGGCAATATGATATTATAAACACAGCACATATCACGTCTCTGCTGTTTATAACTTCATAGGAAAGAAAACACGCCATTCATAACAGATTGAACCACAAACCTCTCCCAAGAGCAACAGGAATTTTGCTGCAAGACAGGCATATGTAACGATGACTTAGCGCAGCTAAACAAATGCCTCATTATATATAGTACTTGTGACAACAGGCCAGCGAAAAATCTAACAATCTACAGCAAAACCATCAATTATTATGGGCGTTATAACATAGGTGTGCAGCTGGACGAAACATACACGTCGAACCCCCCCAGACGATTTAAATACCTGACGAAACATACACGTCAAACCACGCTGAACGGTTAAGAAACAGTTTCTTTTTGAAAGTTGCCACCATGTGTCATGCAAAATAGACTAAACTCTAAAACACATAAAGTTGCAATGAAGAAGAGGAAAAGAGAGAGATAGAGACGTAAGTTGTCAACATTGTGTCATATATTTGAAATCAGATCCCTGTATCTACAAATTTTTATTCCGAACTGTGAGGTTTCAGAAGTAAATGACATGCGAATCATGATGTGTGAATAAATAGTTATGTTTGTATAAATTATTAAAAATTTTAATATTTGCTTTTCAGTACACAGGNTCCCTGAACCTTCCTAATGGCATATTCTAAGGCAAAGTTGAAAAGGCATGGCGATAAAGCATCTCCTTGCTTTAGACCATTCTAGATATGAAATTTATCAGACAAATGTTTACCTATACGGACTTTACTATATGTTTCGTTTATATACATTCAGGAACAGACACACACACACACTTAAATCTCCATGAAGACTACTTCTTCAGGAACTACATTTACATGACCAAACAAACTCGGTATCCTTTTCAAACAAAACAGTACATCACTGTATTATATTTCCTCTTGGCATAAAGACATTTTGTGTGAACCATATATACCCTGAAGAAAGCAGTCTTCTGGGATTTGGCACCGTGTATATGTGGTGTTAACCGACGTTTCGGAGGAACGTATCGCCCCCATCTTCAGGGTTGAAGAAGTATAAGTAAATCTGCAAGCGACAACACCATGAGTCTGCTTGACCGTGTCTCACGGTGTTGTCGCTTGCAGATTTACTTATACTTCTTCAACCCTGAAGATGGGGGCGATACGTTCCTCCGAAACGTCAGTTAACACCACATATACACGGTGCCAAATCCCAGAAGACTGCTTTCTTCAGGGTATATATGGTTCACACAAAATGTCTTTATGCCAAGAGGAAATATAATACAGTGATGTACTGTTTTGTTTGAAAAGGATACCGAGTTTGTTTGGTCATGTAAATGTAGTTCCTGAAGAAGTAGTCTTCATGGAGATTTAAGTGTGTGTGTGTGTCTGTTCCTGAATGTATATAAACGAAACATATAGTAAAGTCCGTATAGGTAAACATTTGTCTGATAAATTTCATATCTAGAATGGTCTAAAGCAAGGAGATGTTTTATCACCATGCCTTTTCAACTTTGCCTTAGAATATGCCATTAGGAAGGTTCAGGGAAACCAGGTGGGACTGAAATTAAATGGGACACATCAGCTGTTGGCATATGCCGATGCTGTGAATCTACTGGGTGATAATGTAGATACCATAAAGAAAAACAGTCAAGCTTTAAGTGATGCAAGTAAAGAGGTTGGTCTAAAGTAAACATAGAGAAAACTAAGTATATGTTGCTCTCTTATCGCCAAAATGCAGGGCAAAATCATGACATAAAGATAGGAAACAGATGTTTTGAAAATGTGGCACAGTTCAGATATTTGGGAACACCGATAACAGATCGAAACATGATTCAGGAGGAAATTAAGAGGAGACATGCTTGCTACCATTCAGTCCAGAAGCTTTTGTCTTCTTGTCTACTGTCCAAAAACATAAAAATTCGAATATACAAAACCATAATTTTGCCTGTGGTTCTGTATATTGTGAAACTTGGTCTCTGACATTAAGGGAAGAAAATAGACTGAGGGTGAGTATTTGGACGGAAGAGAGATGAAGTGACATGGAGTTGGAGAAAACTGTACAATGACTAGCTTCATAACTTGTACCCTTCTCCAGGTATAATTAGAATGTTCAAGTCAAGGAGGATGTTGTGGGCAGGACATGTAGCATGAATGAGGAAGATGAGTAATGCGTATAGGATATTGGTGGGAAAGCCAGAAGGAGAGAGACCGCTGGGAAGACCAAGGCGTAGGTGGGTGGACAATACTGAAATGGATCTTAGAGAGATAGGATGGGATGGTATGGATTGGATTGATCTGGCTCAGGATAGGGACCTGTGGAAGGCTTTTGTGAACACGGTAATGAACCTTCAGCTTCCATGAAATGCTGGGAAATTCTTGAGTATTTGCAGAATTGGTGGCTCCTCCAGAAGGGCTCAGCTCAATGAGTAAGTGTCTGTTCCTGTCTGCCTTTTTGAAGTTTCTTGGCCACTGTAAACACTATTAAAATCTTTATGTCAGCAGGGATGAAGTAATAAGCAGCCTGCATCCTATGGATTGTGGTGTAGTGTGTCCTTTTGAGCACTCTTTCAGGCATGTTACTGTTTTCATATAAATATTGAAACATGAGTGCCATTATTATTCTTGCAGTACACTCCCGCAATTTGTAGGATTTGAGGTTCATACAGCAGTGGTTATGAAGAGTTCTGTCTTATGGGATATAACACCATGTAGTCCATTGAAAATACAATTCTGCTTTCATGCTCATTTCTTGCTCAGCTTATCCTTCAATCCTGAAGTTGGAGGAAATATTTTTTTATAAAATGTCAGTTGAAATTCATTGGACTACATGGTGTTATAACCCAGAAGATAGTCCTCTTCACTCCTGCAGTTGTTGTGGTGTTGAAATCTCTTAACCTTATATACCTGCCTTTGCTTCTGTTTATTTCACAACACCCTTGATCCCATAATGGAGACTTTCCTTGAGGTGTACCAGAAAAGTTCTATGTAAATTGACAATTTTTGTTTCTTCTTGCAGTGGTATGTAGCTCTGTGGGTAGAAAATCATAGACATATCTGGGAGCTCATTGATTTTCATGTCACACTGTACTGTTGAAAAGCAAGAAAAACTGTGTGTTGCCATGAATGAAATATGCTTCAGTTCCCAATTTTCTGATGATTGAAAGTTAAGGACAGATAGATCCAGTGTGGCTTGAGAAACATCCCAGTGAAAATCTGAGCACTATCTGGTGTTATAAGTGAATAGTTATCAGCAAAATTCACTAAGCAGATAAAACATTGTCTATAGTATGAAAGAAAATATGCCCCCTCAAGCAGTCGCAGCAATCTGGCAGATCATAACTTTGCTGAATTCAAGGTTAAAGTACCTGTAGTGAATTAACAGAAAGGATTTAACATGTATATCATTACAGTGGCTAATTTGGTGACATACATTATATACAAATGTTAAGCCCATGTTGATTTTTCTCTTCAGAAAGTTTCAAGAAGACTATTTCTGCATGTACCTCTAGAAATATAGAGCCCTGCACAAAGTATTTATACATCTGTTCTTGTTGTATAAGAAGTTAAAAATATGTAATTTTCTGCTGTGTTTTACAGGTATCAGAAAGTGATAACCTGCCTAAGTCATTGTGCTACAGATGTATGTACAACCTGGAAAATTTCTATGACTTCCGGAAGAGAAGTGTCAATGCAGTTGCTTTGCTGGAGAGCTGTATTGGACAATCAGAGAAGAGGAGTCAAGTGGTATAAACCTCTTAATATCATCATCATCATTATTTTGTGGTTTGTAGCAACCTACTTGCACTGCATTATAAGAAGACTGATGCGAAAGTTCTCATGTGAACATACATACTAGCCATATTATGTGGATTTTTTGTTGGCGTCGAATCACACTTCTCAGGTTATGGATGGAGGAGATGACCACTAATTTTGCTCAAAGTAACATTTTCCAACTCTTCTATTCAGTCTGGAGAAGGATTAATATGACTTTGAAGAAACAGCTGTGCATATCTGTTTGTTTTGCTGTAACATTTGTATTTAATAACATTGTTAAGAAGCAAGTAGAAGTAAGTCACAGATTCTGCAAGTGAGGTGTGTTTTTGTTATCATGTGATTTATAGTCATATTCTAATGTGGAGTTACAGTCATGTGTTTCCTTTGTTTGGGAGAGCTTGGCGCTACTAATCACAGTTGTATGATGATGATGATCTGTTGTCTGTACTGCCTCTGCAAATCACTTTCACAAAAATCATCGCTTTCATAAAAAATCTCACGTTTGCTCAACTTTTATTAAACTGTATGCTATCTTGCAATAAATAATACACATTTGCATATAAAATTTAAGTGCCCATCAAAAAAAAAAACTCCATGGTTTTAGCCCACAAGCAGACCACATCTGTGGTCTAGTGGTCAGAGTTCCTGGCTACATATCTAGAGGTCTCGGTTCAGTTCCCAGCACTGCCAGATTTTTGAGAATCAGTGGGTCTGGAACGGAGTCCGCTCAGCCTCGTGAGGATAATTGAGGAGCTACTTCAAGGAAATATCGGCTTCGGTCTAGAAAACCGAGATTAATGGCCACACAAAAGCTGGCACTAACTTCACAGACCAACAGCGGTCATTCAGTAGATATAGTTCACTTGCAAACTAAAAGCCACGGGGTAATAAATGAAAATTTGAGGGACTTGTATTCAGAAAATGTCCGGTTCAAACCTTGACCAGGACACTGTCTATCTTGACTGGATTGGGATGCTGACTATCCTGGCAGGTTCCTGTGTGGTTTTCCTCTGTCCCCTGAGACATGCCTTAAAATTAGGGTATGACCACTTCCTTCTAGTTCTTTCCCGTTAATTATTATCTAGGCTGACTCACACTGTTTATATAAACAGACCAGAATTGTAATTATGAAGAAATTAAATTTGGGGAATAGATGCCATGACTGCTCTCAAAATCATTTGTCTTCCTGTGTGTTATGTACAGATGTAAGGATTAAAATAGCTGCTTTTTGCCTGCATGGTTATTCTTTGACTGTGAAGTTGGAGTCAACATGTTCCTCTGAATCATCGCTAAACTTCTACCACATTACACAGTATCATATCCCAGAAGATAGTGCTCTTAATACTGAGAACAGAGGTATATAAACATACTCATTATGGCACTGTCAGCATGGTATTTTCAAGCATTGTTCAGTATGAAAATATCAACTCACATCTACTTTTTTCTGAAACAGCGTGAGAGAGTTCAAGTGTTCATAAAGTAGTGAAAATCTGTAGAGTACTATGTAGCTGGCAGTGAAACAGGCCTGTGTTTCTCTGAAAAAGGTTTCTTTGCTTTGGGTTATTTAATGACACATTCATCATCGAAACTATAAATAGCATCAGATGATGATGAATTGATTTGGAGGAAACAATCATGGCCTAATTGAATTAACCCTAATATGGTGGTGAAGTGGACAACTGTTTACATTTTCTGCTCCAAATTTTGTCAGCAAACTCCTGATGTTTGGTTTAGCAGGACAGACTGTACAGCACAAAATGGTGGGATGGTAGGAAATAATACATTTGAAATTATGAGAAAGGAAGTTGTTGTGATACAATATGAACTATTCCAATATCTGCCTGGAGGGACAGAGGAAATTCATGAAAAAACCTCAGTCAGGATAGACAGTCTCGTTGCTCAAGTATGAACGAAAGACCTACTGAGTACAGGTCTGTAGCATTACCTCTAGAACAACATATTCTGTGAAATTGGTCTTTTAATGGACTGCAAGTATATGAAGTAATATTCTCTTCATATTTTTCAAGTTTGCATAGGAGGAAGTCTTGTGTAGTAAATGGTTAATGAGTACAAGCTTCCATTTCACTCACATAACACAAACAATATTACCATAGCTCTGAAATAGCCCTGCGTTGACAGATATTTTCATGTGGTTGGATTTCCATGTTCACACTTCAGATTAATGTTCAGTTTATAGTTATTCTTTGTTATGCATTTAAAATTACTCCATGGTTTTAGTCCTCAAGCAAACTATACTGACTGAGCAACTGCTGCTTGTCGTCGAAGTTAGTGCTAACTTTAGTGGATAGAGGGTGTCACGTGGTCAGCACAGTAAATCCCCACAGCCTTTAATTTCGGTTTTATAGACCATAGCCACTATTTCCTTGAAATAGCTCCTCAGTTATCCTCACGAGGCTGAGTGGACCCTGTTCCAGCCCCACTACTTCTCAGAAAATCTGGTAGCACCGGAAATCTAAGCCAGAACTCTGGATCTGTAGCCAAGAACTCTTACCACTAGAACACAGAGCCTTGGTCCCATTTAAATTACATGCATATGATAATTGTGTATAGGTGATGATTTGTGTTTTATCCTGCAGTGCAGTTGAAGGAGGCAATACTTATATGTTTAACATTGTAACAGGATGGAGAGCTGAAAGAGCAGTTCGAGCTGCTTCGTAGCCAGTTGCGGAAGATTAAGAATGAAGGTGAAACACAGGAGAAAGACGTACCAATGCCTCACCTTGAGCCTCAGGTAAATTAACATTGCCATTTCTGCTCTTTCATATGTTTTTCCTATTAGTAACTTCAGGTAATCTGTGAAGTTATAAGATTGACTACTGAAATATTTGTAAAAAGAACAGTTTTAATTGCTGTAACATTTCAAATGTTATGTGGTGAATGTTTTTAGGATCAAATGCCACATGGCATTTGCTGTCTTTTCAGGAGGGTAGGTTTCATTTCCATCGTGTAGTTGATTTAAAAGGACCAACTTCCATAGATGACATCACTTTTGCTTCTTTTTTGTTTCTAACTTTACTCCTATCAGCTGCAGTGTGTGAATGTACATGTGCTGTTTCACCCACTCAAGGAGCTGAGCTCTTCTTGAGAAGCCACCAGTTGTGCAGCTACTCAAGAACTTCCCAGCATTTTATGGAACACAAAGGTTCATTACTGTGTTCACAAGAGCCCTCCACTGGTCCCTATTCTGAAACAGATCAATCCCATCCTATGTCTCTAAGATCCATTTTAATATTGTCCACCCACCTATGCCTTTGTCTTCCCAGTGGTCTCTTTCCTTATGGCTTTCCCACCAATAAATCTTATATTCATTTTCTTTTGCTTTGGTCATTTGTCGGCAGAATCCGTCCAGGTCTGAGGCTTCTTGTACATTTTAGTAACAAGCTTATTTTTTTACGGTGAGGAGTTGTTAGCCCCATGCCCAACCCCCAAGCTGGAGGACCACCACTTGTCAGCTGTCCGTGACTTGTTTCCTTTCTGCATCATGCTTGTCACCCGCATGCATACCAGGTGCAGCAGAGACCGCAAGAATTATGTCCAAATTAGTAGTTACAGAATTATTATATTCTGTATGTGAAATTCATGGATTAGTTTCCGTAAGGTGTGTATAAGCAGACACTTTCTGACTTTGGGCAGATTTCTTTATGTCAGTTGCCGTGAGGTTATATAATTAGCCTTTGTTATAACGAAACTTTTATATTGTGTGTATATGTATCTATATTTTATAGTCACATGAACGCGGTCCACTCAGCCTCATGAGGATAATTGAGGAGCTGTTTCAAAGAAATGGCGACTCCGGTCTAGAAAACCAAAATTAACGGCCATGGGGATTTGTTGCACTGACCACGCGGCACCCTCTTATCTGCTAAAGTTGAAACTAACTTCACCGACAAGCAGCGGTTGCTCAGTCAGTATAGTTCGCTTGCGGACCAAAACCACGGAGTTTGTTTTGTTTTTTGTAACTGACATGTCTGTATGTGTTTAATTGATATATTATACTGTAAATGCAACATAACAGGAGACAGTGCAGTGTGAGGGACATTATAAAATAGAAAGGGACATGAGAGGAAACTGTGTATATGATAATTCACGGTTCTATAAAACTGTGATAAATTCAGGAGGTAAAGAAAATAAAGGAAATGGACAGATAGTCTACATGCAGAAAGCCATATACAAATTATGCGCTCTCACCCATAAATCAGTCTTGTAATGTGGATCATGGGATTGGGCAGTGGTAGCATCCAGGTACAGTAGTTTAAGTGATCATTTGCTCATTTTTCAGTTCCCTGTTCCAACAAAGAGTCCTGAAAAACGACAGGATACTGGGACAGAACCGAAATGTAGTGAAGCACTGAGCCCTACCAGTGTGCACTCAGATTACCACCCACCATCTGATGAAGTTATAGCCATGGAGCATGTTGAGGACAGTGACAAGGATCATTCCATGGTACAGTTGCACAGATGTCATGTTTCTCATTGGATTACTACAGTTACTTGTCTTAAATATGCTTCTGGCATTTGTACATTAACTTGTCTTGGAGGGATAGTGCCATTAAATATTATGGTAAGTTATGCTGGTTGAATGGTACTGGAGTGTTAGTGGCATTCCTGAGCCCTTTTTTATCACACTGTCAGATCGTACTGGCCTTCCCTGTAAGTTGCTATCTTCATTGCTGATAAGGGGAATCCATATGAAGGAAATACCCAATCTAGGTTGGCAGACTGGATTTTCTAAACACATGATGTGGGCTGATTCCTGGTATTTCATTTACTGGCTGTTACTTTATTTTCCATATTCTGACTTCATTACAGCGTGCCCCGTGATCTTTGTAGGGTCAGTTTTCACTACGTTTCTAGAGGACCATCTTTAAGATTGTACCCGTGTTGTTGGAGCCACACAGCTGTGGGTCAATTTCACCAACATAGTGTCTGCCACACACACAGAGAATAATGTGAATTCAGTGTGCCATCTGTTGTGGAAGCCTTTTCAATCTGGTTCTCATAAGTGAACTCCTAAGAGTGTGTTTAGTTTTGGAGGTTGTCCTAATCTAACAATTCCCTATATATTTGAATGAAGTGCCTTCCACATAGGGAATAGACACAGAGCCAAGAGGCTTTTCGTGTTTATCTGGACAACTGCTACCCTTGGAATTAAGAGCAGTCGAACCATTGGTGATAATGGGTGAGCTGAAGATCACATCTCAGGTTGTCAGTCTGATTAAACAGATCTTGTTCTTGGCATGTGGTAGAAGCTCTATTGTGTAGACTGTGAATTAGTCCTCTTTTGACATGTGGAGAATGACTAGATTTGAAGTTGAGGTACTGGCCAACGTGGATGGATTTTCTGTAAACTAATATGGCTTGATGACCAGAACATCCGGAAAAGAAATCACACTTTATAGTAAACTGTATTGGAAAGGGGGAGCTGGGATAGGGTACTCGGTATAGCAACTGGCTACGGGCTGGACAGCAGGTCAGAGTTCAAGTCCTGGTAGGGTCAAGAATTTTCTATTCTCTGTGTCATCCAGACCGGCTCTGGGGCCCACCCAGCCTCCTGTCCAGTCGGCACTGGGGCAAAGCGGCCAGGACGTGAAGCTGACCACTCACGTCCAACTAGTGCCGAGGTCAACTTCATGGCATAGTGTTTAATTAGTTTAGCGCAAGGAAAGCTTTTATCTTTTTACTGTATTGGAAAGTCTGTTGAGGTGGTTTGAAGAACCTGTAACCCATATCACCATGAGGCCAGACTACAAACGTGTCACTTACATACTGGAGCCACAGAGATGGTTTGTATTGTGCTGTGTGAAGGGGCAGTTTCATTGTATTCTGTAGAATACCAGGAAGTAATCCCAACTGCTGTGTACTGCTCCTTGATTTATGCCTGAATTATATGGTGTATTGGTATTCCACCACAACTTAAAATAGACTGTTATATTCTTCAGTAATTCTTCCTTAATTTCCCAGTCATTCACATTCCATTATATAACATTTTCTTCAGCCCTGTTTCTTAATAAGAATTCCTCTTTTTCTCTTCAGGATACTGAGACAGTAGATGATACCAGTGGCAGAAGAAAGGATGCTGTTAGGTCTGATGGGTAAGACTTTTAACTCCAGTTATGGAAATCAATTTTGTTTTCCTGCTATCTGCTTGATTCTGGTTACATCTGATACTGAACTGAATTTCTCACTATGAATCTAGTAAAAGTAACAACTTGTATCATGTTAGCTTGAATTGCCTTATCCTTTCGTTGAAGAAGCGTGGAACAGATAGCAAGAGGTAAAGTGGTACAAGAAAGTAATTAGTTTTGCAGAATCTGATAATCATTACACTATTGAAATACAGTTCATACACATGTTGTATTGTAATGTTTATCGTGTTTTGGAGCAGTTATTATCAGTAACCACCTAAGATTTTGAACATTGACATCAGTTCTTGTTCGCTGCTGTCTCACTGTATGCCACCAAGCTACTCCTTTCTTGTCGTTGCCACCTGCACTTTACTATTTGCCTCACACTATATGCACTGTTTCACTACACATAAATGCTGTATGCCATTTATAAAAGTATGATCAGATTGAACTGAACTGCACAGATCCATTGATTCTCTTACACTATGCAACCGGTGAACTTCACAATTGTAGCTGTGGAAATTTCTGGCTGGCAGCACGGATTGGACAGAAGCTGCTGCCTTCATACTGTTGCTTGTCCACGGCACTAAAAAGTGTGACGTGTTCTCAGGATTGTGTGCAATAAATGACATGTATTACAGAGAAGTATAGAAACAGACGTGTTAGATGTCATTCATATTGATAAAGCAATATGTATTCACAACTGTTCTCTACCAAGAATCTCATAAACTGACGGATATAATGAAAATGAAATTACAGGGCCTGGCAGTAAAACTTTTTGAGAGTCACAATACTGCTTTCAGAAAGAGCTAAAAGAGAGAGAGAGACTTTTTTGATGATACTGGGTCTGTTTCATGACAAAATGTTCATCTGTTCTAAGAATGGGAATATTTCGACCACATATAGCAAGTACAGTACATGGTGTTCTCAGTGAACATTTTTAACAACCAGACTTTGTCTGATCGATTTCCTGCATGTCCCAGATATGTCAGTTGCCAGCTCATGTGAATTCTTTGTATGAGGTTTTCTCAAGGATGTTGACAGAAGTAATCTATGTATAATTAAATAGCTCAACATGAAATTTTGACACCTATTATCAGCATCACTGAATACACACTGGCTGGAGTAATGCAGTATTTCCTAAGGTGTCTAGATTGCTGGAAGTCCAATTATGCACATATTAAAAATTCTGTCACTTATTTTCCCAAGTCTATTGTGTTCATGGACACACAAAAAAAATCTCATGCATTTAGTTAAAATTGTAGCATGTTTTTGGAAAGGTCCTATAAATATGTGCCTTTTAAACAATTTTAATATTTGTGTGGTTATATTATTTGTTCTGTATTCCTCAGTAAAGTTCCATCTTCAGAATCTTGTTGCACATTTTGATTTCAAGAAGTTAATGGAACTCGCTTATATTTTCAGTAAGGTGATACATTTTATGTAAAGTGTTGGATTACATGAAGAATTAGGCGTAAACTGAAGGGTAGTATTTAAATGGAAAAGGGGTGGGAGGGTGCTGGCTGAATTCATTTGCCTCATAATGCGTTGTTGTGAGCCTTCGGTTTCCATAAAGGGCAGGGAATATCTTGACTAGCTGAGCAACTTGCCTTCTCAAGAAAGACAGCTCAATGGATTTAGACTATTTAAAATGTGTTTGAATGAAACATGTAGCAGTGTTCATATATTACTGTGGTTCCATAGTACAAGATGATGACAAATATCTGTGAGATATAAAATAAGAATTTAAACAAAGCTATTCATGTGAATTAGATTGGGCTCATACAGGCTCATACTCTGTTTATAAACAAACCTAATTAATTATCCTCTTATTGTTCATTATCCAAATGTTACAGGCACAATATAGGAGAGGGGGAAGAGGAACTAACCAGACAGGAAACGCTTCACACTTGCAGTATTTGTAATAAGGCCTTCTCTAGTAAAGGACATCTTGCACTTCATAACAAAATCCACATGAAGGAAGGTGTGGAAGAAAACCATTGTCAGAGCAACAGTCCTGTGGACAAATCAGTGGACCTTAACTGGAAGAGTGGTTACTATCGTCCTTATCGTTGCGATCTATGTAATAAGTCATATTCAACTGCAAAGCACCGTTGGGGACATGTCAGCGTATGTCACCGTGGTAATCCTCTTGTAACGTGCCCCATATGTGCAAGGGTCTTTTCTACATGTTTCAACCTTGGTGAACATAAGAGAACAAAGCATGGCTTAGAGGAAGGAGAAATTGTTGATATAAATGATGGTGATGATGCTTCAGTAAGTGTTGCCGACTCCCCAAAGCATGGCGCTTCATTAGTGCAGCATTCTATTGATAACAAAAATTCATATTCAGTTACTGCAGACAACTTCCAAAAATTAGCAGGTAACTTCCAGAGTGTCCAGAATACAACCAGAAAGTCAGTGAACAATTCTGGAATCCTACATACATGTAAGCAGTGTGTTAAAGTTTTCAAAACAGAAGAAGAGTTGGAAAGGCATTCTCAGTGTCACACAAGAAGAGTGTCCTCAGACAGCAGCAGTCAGAGTTCAAACTCAGATATCAGCAGGAAATCTGAATTTGCAAAGAGCCTCAAAATCGGGAAGAAGCCTGAGTCAACTAAAGGTTCGGAAACTGTTAGAAGGGTAGATCTAAAGGCAATACCAGGAATGAATAATGAAACAAGTTTGTTGAAACAAACACTGTTACAAAATCGGGAGTGTACTGAGATTAGATCAAGGAAAAGAAGCCCCTCATTGGATATTAGTATGGATGATATAAAGATTAAAAAACGAGTAGGTTCATCAGCCGAGACAAGAAGTAACAGTGGCAGTCGGCGTAAGAGTTCAAAACCTCGAAAGATAGCAAGGAATGACGAAGATAATGATGACTTTGATCAGGATCAAAAAGATGTGAATATTTATGCTTGTGATAATTGTCCCCAAGTTTTCCAAACATTACCAGAACTGCAAGAGCATAGGAATAACCATGATGTTGAAGAGGAAACATATGGAGGAAGTGTGGGTAACACAAAACCATTTACATGTCTCCTTTGTGAAAAAGATTTCACTTTACGTTCATCTCTTAGCCGACATTTTAATGCCTGCCATGGTATAGATCCTTCAGACCTTGTGGATATTTCAAAGTATCAGCGAACACCTCAGAAGAAGCAGGACACTTGCAGTTTGGTTTCAAGTGGAAATAGCCAGTCCACGTCCAGGAAGTTTGATGGGCAACAAAAGAGTGTTCTTAGTCAGAAGTCTAGTAATCAGAACACCGTCGAAGATGTAATAGAGGTAGATGATGATGGTACATTGCTTACAGAGAGACCTCCTGAAACACAATCTTGCTTTATGTGTGAGGTATGTACAAGAGAATTTGGTGACCGTGCTAGTCTTTGGCTACACCTGCGATACACACACAAAGAATATGCAGCTTATGCATGTGGTATTTGTCTTAAGATCTGTGAGAATAACACTCAGCTTTACCAACATTGGAAAACTTCCCATCCTCCTACTCATAATTCAACAGAACAGCGCCGGTATTGTTGTCAGGTGTGTGGTCGACAGCATGATTGTCGAAAGAAGTTACTTACACATGTGACTGTTCATAACCTTGACAATGGTGCTGGTGGAGTTTATGATCCTGAAATGCTTGTTACACTTAATACTGGATTTTATAAATTTGAGAATCATGATGAAGATCTAGTTACAAATGAGTACAAACCTGGCTCAGAACAGGAAGTATTGGCTGACAGTAATGGTGGTGAATATACAAGTGGAAGAATCGCCAAAGAAGGTTCTTCTTTTGGCTGTGAGTTGTGTTACAAATCATTCCCAACAGAGGATGGATTGGTGAAGCACAAGAAAGGTGCTCATAAAGCGAATTCCAACACTGATGCAGCTGTTCCAAACAGTTCCAGAGGGTCCTATCAACTTTACTTTGTTTGTGAATTGTGTGGAAGCTCTCACAGAAGCAAATCAGAAAGATGGAGGCATGTTTTTAGGACACATAATGGTGAATCTGCTTTAACTTGTGATGAACAAGGATGTGGAAAAGTGTTTCCTACGCGTTCTTTAAAACAAGAACATTGCACTAATCATCACCGACTACAGGGCACAACACCAAATGTTTGTGAAATCTGTGGAAAGCTATGGGGCACCCGTGTTGATTTCTGGAAGCACTTAATGGGTGTACACCCAGATTGTGTACCACTGACATGTGGGGTATGTCTTAAGATGTTTTGCACTGTTCCTGATCTTCAGGCTCATGTTCATTCAACCCACATGCCACTAACTGCTGGGGACTTCTGTTGTGACATCTGTGGTCGCCCATATTCTAACAGATCAAAACTTTCAAGGCATCGCAGAATACATTTGATAGACATTCGCAATGATGTCCCTCAAGTTCCACTTCTTAAAAGACCATTCTCCTTGCCAATAAACATTCCTGAAAAAAGTAGGCATGGAATTCCCTTCAGTGTACCATCTGTAGGAACATCCAAAAAATTTATGACAGCAGTGAACACTTTCACAAAATCTGTGGGTACGTCAGTTCCAGCTCAATCAAATGCCCTTTCAAAGCCTAGTAAAATTCCAGGCTTGTCTCCAGAAGTGAAAGCAATGGCTCCGAAACCTCAGCCAATGCTATTTTGTGATGTGTGTCCTGAGATGACATTTCAGTCTGTAGCCCAGTTGGCAAACCACCGTCGCAGAATTCACTCTCTTCATGCATGTGACCTGTGTTCAAAATTTTATGGTAGAACATCTGATCTCTGGAAGCATGTCAAGAGAGTTCATAACAATCATCCAGAATTGACATGTCATATCTGTAAACGAATTTCAGCAAGCAAAGCTCATCTAGAAAATCATGTCTCTACAAAACATTGTCCCAAGAATCCAAATCCTTGTACTAAACTACCTTTATCTAATCTGTATTTCAGTGCTGGGAAAATTGTGAAAATCCCAACACTCTATCCATGTCATAAATGCTCAAAACGATTCTGGAAATCCCATCTCCTTAAAAAACACCAGCGGCATTGCTTGCGTGCAGCTAAACCTAAACCACTGAAACTTACAAAATTAAAATCAGATTCTTCTGCTTCCACACAGGATCTAACTTGTGACATGTGCTCTAGGACCTACCAAACCCCATCACGACTAAAGGAGCACCAGAAAGTATCTCATGCTCCACAGCACTGTGAACTCTGTCTTGATGTCTTCTTTACATCAAAAGCAGATCTGTTTGCTCACATTAAGGAAAATCATGACAGTCACCCCAACTTCTGCTGCTCCATTCCAAACTGTTCAAGAACAATGAGGTCAAAGGCTGATCTTGCCATGCATCATCGACAACATAAGTCTGTTAAATATCCTCCGACATGCTACCTCTGTGGAGAGGTATATTTAAACAAAATGAGGCTGTGGAATCACCTTAATACATCACAACACAAGGCTGCCATTCCTCTTATATGTGGTGTTTGTTTCAAATATTTCCCATCAACTGAAGAACTTATTCAGCATGTAGAGAGCCTCCATCCAAGAGCTTTGGAAGCTCCAGACACTTGCAGGATATGTGCCAAGACTTATTCCAGTGTGTACAAAGTAATGAATCATTTTACAAAATGCCACCCAGAATATTATGCTTGTAAGGAATGTCTCCAGGTATTCAAAAGCAAGACGGAATTACAAGAGCATAGTGAAAAGGGACACGTCAAAGTAGTTGAATTTGAAGGAGAGAGTATAATAGGTGGTGATGATGATGATGAAGGTGGAGAGAAAGTAGAGGGAAACTTGAGAGAAATATCAGGGAAGGAGAATGTTACTGACACTTCGGAGGATGGAGTTGTAATTAAAAATGACCACTTGTCTTGTGAGTTCTGCAGAGAAATCTTTCCAACCTCTGCTGAACTGGTGGAACACACAGAAGCAAAACATCATACTCATGTGGAGTGTCTCAATTCAAATTCAGGCACTGAAGAAGAATCAGTAAACATTCCAGAGTATGATGCAGAACATAATACAGTTGCCAAGAGACCAAGGCGTTCGTACAATTGTGAGAAATGTTATATTTCCTTCCGTTCACCGTCAGATCTTGCAGACCACAAAAATTTGAAGCACGTTTCATCACTTTCAGATACAAAGCCTTACCATTGTGGTCTGTGTGACAGACATTTCACTAATAAATCATCATACTGGAAGCACATAAATTCTCCTGCCCATCTGGCCAAACGAGTACAACAGAAATTCATCACAGCAACAGCAGCATCACAAGGGAATCTTATGACTGGAAGTGAACAGTCATATAATTTGAATTTCCATGAAAGCACAGGAAATAATTCTAGTGCAAAAGCACAAAACCAGGGAAGTTGTGATTCTGAAGTACCTTTTGTGTACATACCAGAATCCAGTCTGAAAGATAATGTTATATATGAAGTTAAGACTGAAGTCAGTTGCATTTCCAATGCCAGTATGCCTGGGAAGGGAAGTGATAGCAAAGATAAGAAGAATGACAATGAAGGAAATGTCAGATCTGAGAATGTAGAGTACAGTGGCAAGCATGGAATCTCTTACAGTCAGACCAGCGATGTATCTTGCAATGTTAAACTGATTCGCCGAAAATCAGAAGTCCGTAGAGTTTACAGTGATGGCTCTCACTCAAAATCCCCTTGCTACTGTCAGCTCTGTGGGAAGGAGTGGCCGGCCCTGAGACATCTTTGGCAACATCTCATTCGTAACCATCGACGAGAGGCTGCAGTAACTTGTGGGGTGTGCCTTAATTTTTGCCATGATTATCCAAACCTTGCCTCTCATCTAAGTTCACATCACCCTGACAATTTCACTGGTGAAGGCAACAATTTCACATGCCGCATATGTGGTCGTTATCACAATGCCCGATCTAAACTCATTCAGCATGCAACTATACATATTGTCTTAGGTCCAAAACCAGAACATCAGCCACAATCAAATCTTCACAATTGTCATACATGTTTCAGATCTTTCATCAGTGAACAGAATCTCTTTGATCATGAAAAAACCCATCAATCTTCAAATAATATCCAGAATGAGAAACTGCAATACACGTGTGAAGTGTGTTACAAAGTTTGTGGTAATGTAGGTGCCCTTGTGACGCACCGAAAGAGTCATAAAGTGAATGCAGATGATCTTTTTGCAAGAGATGATTTGGTAGACATGGAAACAGAGGAAGTAGAACATAATATCACCAGTAGTCAAGGCTCTGAGAGTGAACAGCTCTATAGCTGTGACATCTGCCTGAAGGTTTTCAAAAATGAGTTACTTTTCTTTGAACATAAACAAATCCATGTCAGGTCCTTAAAAAGAAAGAATATAATAGCATCACATAGCATGAAATCACAAATTCAAAAGCAAAATTTATACATCTGTGACATTTGTACTTTGGTTTTTGAGACAGAAACAAGTTTCACAGCCCATTCTCAAAGCCACAACTTGTCATCTCAACCTACACACCCAGTTTCAAAAGCACAGCATTCATCTTCCAGTAATCTCAGGCAGGATATTCAGGGCTCCATTACTATTGGACCACAAGGACTGGCCGCTTCTAAGGATAAATTTTCTTGTGCCATCTGTCAAACCATATTTCATAACTCAGCTGTTCTGTCTACACACTTGAAGGTTTTCCACAGTAAACACTTCACCTGTAGCAACTGCAAAAAGAACACGTTTACATCTTATGTAAACCTTACCAAACATTTTCGTATCTGCCATCTTAAAAAGGCGCAACCACGCAGCTTTCAGGCTAACATCCAGCTGCTGAAGAAATTGAAGGAACATTCAGATGATAATTTGATTTTGTCAGTGGACAGACAAGAATCTTTCTTTAATAAACAGTCAGCAAATGAAGTCAAAGATTTGAACCTTCTTGGGGAAAATCAAAATAATGAGCCCCATTCCAATATTTTAGGAGAGTTGGAAAAGGCGAAACATATTATAACATCTCAGACTTTGGATAAAGGCACAATTATAGAATCCACAAGAAATGATTTTGGGAATTATAGTTTTGAGAGATCTCCGACAGAAAGAAATAATATGGAAGAATCTAGTGTCGTTAATGCAGAATCTCCTTCCATCTCTGAGTATACTGACTTCATTATAGATTCTGAACTTAAAGACAATGACTATAGAGATGGCAGTGAAACACAGGAAAGATCTCAGAATAAAATAAACCATATTGAACCAGGTGGAAGTATGCATAATTTTCAGAATAATAAAAGATCGCTTATTGAGAGTTTTGAGCAGAATGAGAGGGCTCTATTTCATGACTCAACTACAGAAGAAAAAACTCATGATAATATTATGGGAGGTAATATAGAACGGAATGATCCAGAGATCCAAAATGGCAGAGAAGATCAATTTGTGTGTGATGCAGAAATTAATTTTAGATTAGAGGATGAAATGACAGATTATTTAATGAAGGCAGAAGATTGCTTAGATGTTGCAATGACAAAAGTATCAGGTACCACAGCAAAACATTCAGAACAGTTAAGAGAATTAGACTTTCCGAGTCACTCTCCAGAAGCACCAATGATGGAGGAACAAACACAAGATACATCAGTAACAGGACAACCTAGCTGTCTCGAATCAAAATTTTGTGATGAAATCATAGGTAAATATGTTGTTCAGAACTCACCAACATGTACAGGTGTTTTGCAGGAATTGCCTATACATGTTACAGGAAACACAGACAAACCTAATGGCAATGATCTGGGACATTCCATAATGGCAGAAATAGTGGATAATGAAATTTTAAGTGCAGATGCTTGTGATTTCTCAGAAAGCAATCTGACTTCAGCATCTGGCCCACTGTCAGCCAGTGATGAAAGTAGGCAGAAATATGTGTTGGATCCTCTTCCTGTTCATAAAGATGATTTAAAGAAAGACAAGGATTGTTTATATTCATTAGAAGATGCTTTAGATGAACTTGTGGCCCAAAATACTGAATGAGAAAAGTGATGGTGAATTTATTTTATATTGCTTTAAACTTGAGGTCCAGAATACTGAGTAAGAAAAGTGATTGCTGATTTTTATTTTGCAATTTACATTGGCTTTAAACTATACTCATCTGAGGATGTAAGTTAATGTTCTTTGTATGTAAAGTTATTGATAGTTCCATACTGAAGCATGACATCTAATTTTAGGGTTATAGAAACAGAATATTTGCATTGACATTTAAGATGTGAGAACTAATAGAGAGTATTTTCTTTTTATAAAGCTGTTGGTACCAGCTAGGTCATAATTACATTTTGTATTACTCAGTCATTGATTACCCTGATGATACTTTTTTTTTTTAAACTGTTAACACATTGTGTTGGCATTAAAATGACCTGGTGTGCCATTTTTTCTGGTATGTGTATATGTCAATGCATATTAATATTTATTTTCCAGGACCAAAATTTTGGGATTCAGAAATCAGTTTCATTTTTTGTGACAGCTTGAATAGGTTAAGTTATTTGAAAACGGCGAGTAATACTCGATATTCCAATGCAAGAGTTAAGTCAGAAAATTATTTAAAAAGAATTCTACAGCTAGGTGAGAATGTGCTATGGAGTAGGCCCTAAATGCAAGAATACATGACAGTTAATAGTAACATAGGTTGTACATGTTAAAACCATTGTTGGCACTTCTATTCATGGTAAGTAGTGTGCACAGGTACAACAACCTGAAATAATAATTGTCTTGGCTTGTAGATGTTATACAACTTTGCATCTGTTAAGTTCCTCTTAACTAGAAAGATGTTTGGTTTTCCATCTGGGTGACAGTCTAATGTATATATTTTAATAAGTTAACCTTTCCTACAGTAGCTTCATTTTCCAGTTGAGGTGATCAGATGAAATTGTTTTAATAATGTTTGATAGAAAGTTTTGTATTAAAAATTTGTTCAATTTGCATGTAAACTGGCAAATGGAAAAAATTAAGAGTGTATGGACATGGGCGTTATTCTGGCCTCAACATGAGACTGAGATGTAGACGTCCCTTTGACAGAATTGGACAGGATTAAACTTCAACCACAGTTTGAAGGGGGCAGAGGGTGTAACATAAAGAAGTCAGAAGAATACTGTTACTGTCTTCTGTGATGTAACACCATGTTTCAGAGGAGTGTACTGCCTCCGTCAGGGTCAGAGAGTAATAAGCCAAGGAAGAAACCAACAAGAAGCAGTCTCCAAGCACAGCAAGCGGCATGCAGGAACCCAGGGGATGACAATAGGCTAGTAGATTATTCACAGAGCCAGTCGGAACATACCTCAGTGGCTTCTGCAGACTACATGGTGTTATATGACAGAAGACAGAACTCTTAGTAGTTATTGCTATGAGAAACTCAAATCCAAAATTTAGAAGTTAAGTTGTGGAACACTGATAGTATTGATAAACAATTTGCTGAAATATGTGTGAGTGTATGTCATCCCTCATTGATGTCAAGGGTTTATAACCAAGGTTTGAACAGAGGAAAAGAAAAATACTTGACAATTGCAAGTACAAACTTTTTTTTATTTCTATCTTTTTACTGGTAATATTACATTCAAGCAGCATGTACATGAAGCAGGAAGATCTGTTGTTTTAGTAAAGTGCTTATTAAAGGCAAAGCGAGTACTTTTTTTTGCATTATTTCCAAATTTGCTCTTCTATCATCTGCAGGGAGATTATCTGAGTCTGCTGTGAAATATGTGGTTTGTTCAGCAGGAAGTGATGATGCATTTGGACTCATGGTGCAGTCAGGAGGCCAATAGCCTGTCATCACTGGCCTGACAGCCATGTGAGACCCCTGGTCTTCTTTAAGCGTTGCCCCTGTAAATCTCTGTAGCTTTATTGAAGTAAGCTTATGTGATATGTGCCTCTCAACTGATCCCAAGTTCCTGCTACTGTAGTAAATAATCAGACATGTTATTGTGTGTAAATGGAATATGAGCGTTGCACATTGAAATGAATGTTCATGCACAGTAGCCATAATGTGAAAAGGAGAACATTCCAGTATAAATACTGGGATGTTACCAAGAATAATAAAAAAAAAAACATATTCATCCAAATAAATTTAGACAGGCTCATTACTGGATAAAAACTGAAACAAAATGGTGAATGCTGTGCTCAAGAAAATTCTGATGAAATCTTTGCTGAGCTTGTACATTTCCTCACAGAATCCCTTAGATATCTTTACAGGAGACCAGGGTTTCACATTTGCTGTTTCTTGGAGTATCTTCAGCACTTTAGTGTGAACATTCTATGAATATTTATGTAATGCATTTCTTGCAGCAAGACCATTTCTGGCTTCTTTTGTGATCTGGTTGGGTTCTGTTTGTGATTTGTAGCTCTAAGTGGCTTGTTGATTGTGCTGCAGGTTCAAACATGTGGAAAGAGTTGATGTGAGGATCTCAGATAACTTCCCTGTACAATTCAAGTGACATCTCAGGTGATCAGCCATGTCAGTATTAAATGAATTTCTATGAAAACTGTTTATACTTCCGTAATCAGAGGCCGATTTGATGGGTCACACATTTGTCAGTCCCTAATTATAAAGGCACAGACAGTCTCTGAAATAGAACTTTATTCCATATTGGCATAGCTGATTGTCCAAGAAGACTTTATTTCATTCATTAGCTGCGAAAGCGTATGTTATTATTTGTATAATTGATTTCAGTCTGTATTCCATGTAGGATAGAGCCTTATATGGTGTAGGGGGTAAGAATAATTAAATTTATGCATCTAAATAAAAAGGTAATTTTCTTTATTTTGTGTTTTTTCTTCCATTTTCCAAACAAGAAACTGCAAGGTATGCAGAACAGCTGTGTAATGAATTCCAGGGCAACTTTTTAAGCCTTCAACTCATTAAACGTAAACAGATGTTTGCAGAACACATTCAAAAGATGCAATAATACATCAACCTTATGACACCCATCTTTGATGGCTTCATTGGCTGGAGAATTAGCAGCTTTCTGAACCCAAAAGTGATGCATTTTTGTCCCTCTATGTACATCCCCCCCCAGTGATCAACTTCTATTATGAGGACAATTACTGTGCTTCTAGTGATGTTGCCTTGCAATAACCAGATTGCACCATTGGAACACTATGGAACTGAAATCTTACTCAGATCACACCATGGTCACTTGCTAAACCTATCTTTGAGCTACTAACTGAGCTGAGGTTCACTTGGTTACAGGTTTGAACCCTCTATGTTACCTCTTTTAGAAGGGTCTGATGTTAGAGTGGGAACAAATCCTGTGGCTGACTTCACTCATTGGCCCTTAAGGGTGTAACTATCCTTTCACTCCCACCATTTATGTAAGGTTCACCCTCTAGTGACATCTAGTCTGCAGATATGCAATACAAAATCCAAACCAAAAACTCACTTTTTGATGATGTATCAATTATTGCTATAGAAATTATGTGCTATTTGTTACGTATTTTGCTTCGGGAAGAGTACCTTACAAAAATATTCCTGGAAAAGTAATTGGCCTGGGAACTCCAACTTCTTGAGTGAATGGAGATATTTTGTTACGGATTTTCTCCAAGAGAAAGACATTCTTTACAAAAGTAACAGAATGCTCATTGAATACAAAGAACAGGGCTGAAAAGCTTAAATGTATTAAGTATGCTGGCTGGTCAGCAACTGGTTGTACAAAAATGACGTTCCTGTGTGAATGGAACAGCACAGATCTGCATTATATGACCTCCAACACAGCATATGATGCCAGGTTCATCAAATGTGAAAGTCAACCCAAATTGTGCTATGGACCAGATTCATCTAGCTGAGGGTAGGTGCCAGTGGTGAACTTTTATGAACAAGATAATGAACCTTTGGGTTTCATAAAGTGTTCAGAAATGTTTGAGTAGTGGAGCAATTCATGACTTCTCATGGACTAAGCTTCATAAGTTAACTGCGTCACACTTCAGGCTGGTACAAGCCATACATCTCGGCTACACTGTATACTATAAAAGCTCACCTGAAACGGTGAACCTGAGGTTTGTATGTACCATGAATCATGGTGAGTAAATTCCAATATTTTTCACTGTTCTCTGCCCACGTGCATTGATTCACAAATGAGTTAATGTCTATTATGAGGTCATGGCTTATACTTTTATTTACATCCATTATCACACTGAAAAGGAATATAAAAAAACACCAACACAATAACCTTATCCTGTCTCAACATCCATTTCCACAACCACCAACTAGCATGGCCATGATGAACTTAGTCTGTACAACATACATAATGCACAAAATCTCAGAACAACACTGTCTTGGGAATGTATGTTGTCATTCTGAAGATTAGCTACTCCTTGAATGTTTTAGTGTGCAATTCCTGAAGACAGTTTTCTCATTTGAGTGGAGCAGGCTACTCCACACTTTGAAATCAGACACAATTTGCCAGAGGTTGGTAAGGCGCAGTCCAATTCGTTGCTGGCAACTGATGTGTTATGTGTCCATTGGTAGCCACAGAAATATGTTTATATCAGCTGTGAGAATGTCACCAAAAAAGCTGAAATGCTCTCCTGGTTGGAAAAGCTTGGTATACAATACAATTTTCACATGAAAAACGTAGATCTGTATTACCTGATAATAATTCACAAACTGTATTATGAGACATCTCATAATATTATATTGCAGCATCCTGTTGCTCGTCACTTATTATTCAAGTCACCGATTCAACCGTCTCACATACAATACGTTTTTCTAAAATTTATTTAAAAGTTGGTCCACATCACACTACATGTTTCGACCAACACTGGTCATCATTAGGTGTTTAAAATTGTTGATGAAAATTGCTGTGCTTCCGTTTTGTAGTTTGATATGTGGTCCAAATCTACATGCTTGTGTAGCCCATGGTGATAGGCAGTTCACCTTATTCTGTGGTGTGTTTTTATTACTTGATACGTGATGGGACCACATATCAAATAATGAAGCTACAAAATGGAAGCACAGCAATTTTCATCAACAATTTTAATCGCCCAATGATGGCCAGTGTTGGTTGAAACATGTAGTGTGATGAGAAGAAACTTTTAAATAAATTCTGGAAAGCTGTGTTGAATGTGAGACAGTGGAATCAGTGACTTCAGACTTATGTTATTGATGGTTTGTTTGCTGAACATGGACATAAAGTGATAAAACTACCTCTCTACCATTCCTATTTACACCCTATAAAACAAGTTTGCAGTACTTTGTAAAAATAGTGTGCTGCAATAGTGTAATATTTAAACTAGACACTGTTCAGTAACTGGTACATGAAGATTTTGCCAAGGTGAGAGAGGAAGAATGTGCACACATATTAAAGCTATTAAGGAGTACAAATACTCCACTTGTATGATATAGATGGCACTGTGGAGAGAACCATTAATATCCCTGATGATGACACAACAGAAACCTCAAACACTGTGATGAAGAGGATATGAAATGAGATGTTTTTCTGTCTAGTTACACCAAGTAAAGCTTTAATACATTTAGGGACTACATAACGTGCAAAAACAACATAACATTTAAAGTTCATAACTAGGTACAGGAACATATAAAATGTGTTTAACTTGTGACTGACCACTCTTCCACACTGTAGTTAATTATGTGAGTTAATTAATTATACTTTAAGTGGCAACAGGTCCTTGTGTTTATATACCTATAAGAATTATTTACACTTAGATGGCAGCAACAGTTTTCTAATTTTGCCGGCAATTCATATCCTATCTTGTGGCTCAGTAGCATGGCTAATGTTTTCATTGTGGATCATAAGACTGATGAGGTATTCTTCAGTCTTCCAGTGACCAGTAATTGTCTTACTCACCTTATCAATCCCAGCCCCCTTTCCTCACCTGCTTGCCCATCGCTTCCCTTCCTTTGTTCAGGCTTGTGCCAAAAACAAAATCCGTGGCTTGGGTCCGCAAGCGAAGTATACCAACCGAGCGACCGCCGCTTGTTAGCGAAGTTAGTGCCAACTTTAGCGGATAGAGAGTGTCGCGTGGTCAGCGCAACGGATCCACACGGCCGTTAATTTCAGTTTTCTAGACCGGAGCAGCTATTTCCTTGAAATAGCTCCTCAACTATTGTCACGAGACTGAGTGGACCCCGTTCCAGACCCACTGCTTCATGTTCATTCCATCAAATTCTCCATAAATAAGAATATCTAACTAATTCTAAATTGTAATTAGCAGTAAAAAATTGTAACTATTGTAATTTTAATCTACTTATATATCAAATTGTTAATATTCAGAATTAACTTGACTTGTCATATATCATGTACAATGATCTACAGTGACGAAATAAACACAATCAATCAATCAATCAATCTCAGAAAATCTTATAGCACCGGGAATCGAACCCGGGACCTCTGGATTTGTAGGCAGGTCCAGTATTGTGCCATTAGATGTTAATTTTTTGAGCGATGGCCAAGAGCAGAATTATTTGAATATTGAACGATTTCTGGGATTTGAGTGCCTACAATTTCCCAACGTCGTAATATAAAATTTCCCATCTGACTAATGAATAAATATTCTTTGACTTTAGACTGCCTCGGACCGACCCATGTATTAGCACTACTGTATGATCCGTGGAGAAAGTTGAGAGGTAGGTAATGGCGTGTTTGTTGTTCTGCGTATGGATTCATGTGGGTTAGTGCCGATGGTGCCGATCGAGCAGTTGTAGTATTATGTTGCGTTTCAGCGTGTTTTCTGGGTTTGTTTTCAAATGAAATTATTTGGTAATGGAAGTTGTGTCATTTGGGTGTAATCATGTGGTTAGCCAGTCACTATACCGACACTACTCAATCCTGGCCCATATTTATTGAAAAAGAAGTAAAATAAAAATATGTTATAATATTAAATGAAATGAGATTATATGCAGTATAGGAATTTACTGATTGTTTGCTGTAGCAGTCATAGATTTACCAGTTTCCATTTATGCTTCTGCACAGCATTGAACAGTTGAAGCTGTGAATGTAGGCAAGTCATGTATCTTGCTTCAGAAGTCATATAAAACACCACAGTAAGCAGAAGCTACTGTTTCTAATGTGCTGCCATCCAATTCCTGTAAAATACAGGAGAGGCAGTTACAGGTAAGCAACTTATTTCTTAGTAATTGAAAAGAAACAGTGGAGTGGCATGTTGACCTGCACGTAACACCGGATGCATCTTGAAAACCAGTGTAGTGAAACTCACATGACATAATGCAGGGAGGTTCATTTGACCCAGCTGTATAACACTTCATGAAATATTTTTGTAATGTGGGTTCAAATCTTGGTCAGGAGCCGAGGTCTCTTACTTGATTTTTTTTGTGTGGTTTTCAGCAGTCGTGACAGACAAACTGGGAAGTGTAAAGAGGGCATACTCATTCCAGTTAATCATGGATGTCCATCCTGTCACTAAGTGCTATAATACTTTTGTACTTCTTAAAGAATTGTGAGATAAATCAGTAAAATGTTTAGAAAGGGAACAACTGTGTTATAGCTGTAGTAAAAATACATGCCTTCCTTTTTGAATGCCTTCAAACGAAAGGTGTAAGATGCCAGAAGCTGACATATTTGAGGAGATATATCTCCATATGTTTTACAAAATGTAAGTTCCATTACAGATAGGAACCTGAAACATACCTTGTAACATATATATATCAATGGTGGGGCATGATATTTTCAAGACTGTTAGCTAAATCCGAAGGCAAGGCAGAGGGAGGTCATGAAAATTCTGGAAATTGAGTGTGTATGTCATACAAGAGAACTATGCAGATTTGAGCCAGTATTAAGGATAAAAGTGGAAATATAAACAAGAAAAAAAAAGTTTAGCAGCTTCTGAGATTGAATATTTTATTGCACCCGACTTGTAATCCATACAATGATTTTTTTAGTGAAAATAAGGAATCACAGAAGTTTGGACTATTTTCTGAGCCATGAAGAATTTTGTTTTCAATTGGTCATTCATGATAAAGTAGTGAGCATGTCAGTGAGTCTATCATGAGTCTGCATGTCATTTAGGTTAACTGCGGACCTTCTGCAGAGCAGAAAATGACTGCTTGGCACACACTGGGTGTTGGAATCATTAATAACAAGGCAGAAAATGACTTCAAATAATGCTGGACTCAGATTTGAAGTGATAAAATATATAAATATATGAGGTCTGAAATATTACTTAATAAAAATTCTACCAGAGAATAAACAGTGGAAAGTTTCATTTTCAGAAGAAGAGAAACAAAATACCACCCATATGATTTCAATTACAACTCATCAGCCTAAGCTGAAAACTTTTCAGAGTATTGTTTAAAGTTTCTAAATTCTGGAAGTGAACGAATTTAGTTTGAGAATTTTGGAGAATCACTTGGTCAGCTGCCCTTTAATAGTGTTGATCATTTCACAGTACAGCCAGTGATAAAAGGCTTATGCGTCATTATTATCCATTGATATTCCTTGTCAGAAATTCTTATTTCTGTATCTCCCAGTGAGAAGCTCTCATTTTCTAACCAGAGCTCTTGAGCTCGGTTAAAAAATTCTGAATTTCTTCCACTTCTTTAGATTAGTAACTGATGTTATTACTTTTGGATGGTATAATTTCAGAAAGTATTTTGGGTGTGAATATATGTAGTCCTGAAAATATTTCAAATAATGAAAGACAAAATGTTGAAGAATATGATAATCTTGAGGGAAAATAAGCATTTTGCCATCTCTTTCTTGCCTGCATACTTTTGTTGGTTGCATCTTCTGAAAATGCAAGCATTTCCCATATATCTATCATGGGTAGCTTGCAGTACCTTGAACTGTCCTATACTCCCTCCCCCCCTCTGGCTTGTACTATAAGATATTTCTGGCTGCACCCAGAGACAGCCAACATAAGCTGCAAAGAAATGGCTAACAACCCAATTATTAGGTGGATGAAAGTGGCAGGTGATGGATTATCTGATCTCTTCTCCTGCCAGTACATGGAATATCACTCAGCCATAAAAATTAACATTTTTATTTCATTTTTCAAAGAATTGACCAGGCAAAGACCATTAATGTGAATGGACTGCCACTGATATATATAAAATATACACACTTAATGTAATGAACTTGTAAAGTGTAAATCACTTGATTTACCTAATGAACCTGAGATATTTTTTTTTTAAATAGCTGGAGTTTCCTATTAAATTGGATAGTAAAAGTCACACTATAAGTTACAGTAATAGAAGTAACCCCATGGTTGTGTTTTTGCTATTCTAATTGCATTTAATTACACAGGAGTTAAAACATGTGACAGTAAGTTAAATCACAAGCTAGCCATGCTCTGCTGAACGGCTTAAGTTTGGTGTCAGAGAAAGTAATTGCGTTTGCTCGTCGAAGGAATATTTATATATATGGGTGTCTTCTTCATATGCAGGAGTTACAATGGAGTGTATGGAGGTGGTACGAAAATGGAAAAGGAACATGGATAATTATTTCACGTAAGTTTTCTGTTGTGCATAGTTAGATTTATGCATAATAGTAAGTGTATTTTAGCTGGTGGCATCATTCATAACCTCATATGCAGACCTTTAAACGCAGCTGGTGGACTTTCCACAAATTTGGTGTACAATAAATATTGTAACTGCTAGGTATTTTTAAAAAGTTGTTGAATTTTCCACACACAAATGTAATTCGTTTAGTATGGAGGTATAGTGTTACTTTGTAGACTTGTGGCTCTGAATGTATGACAAAAAATTGATGTTTTCAGCTTGAATTCACTGCATCTCAGAATCAGTAATTTTGTTGCTAGTTGCATGACTTTTTTTTTTCTTAATATGTAGTAGGTTTTGATCTGAAGGACAGTTTACTTTAGATGACTCTGAAACTGAATCAGTGCATCATTTATTAGAAGACAGTGATGATACTGTTCCAACAAATCAAGCCAAGACACCATTGGATGAGATAGCTCTTTTGAGCTTGAGTTGGTAGCTACCATTCCTGGCATGTATTGCTGCATATCGTGTCAATGCAGATTTCATAATTTGACTGCTTTGAGTAATGCATACATACTGTTCATTATTTTATGAAAAATGTGTTCAAGTGATTAGTGTTATTGCTTCCTGATCAGGATTATCAGTATTCAAGAACCCAGTCCAAATGAGGGTTTTCCATGTTTTTCATAGTCCTTGCAGAGAAATGCTGGAAGAACACTCACAGCTAAGAAGGGAACACACATCACAAGACACGGTTTACACAGAATATAAGAAAAACGACCCCCATAGTGGAAGAACCACACGCAAGTTTTAATTAAGACACATAAGATGAATAATCTTAACAAGTTTTAGTGTGTGTAAATTTATTATAGTTGACAAATACACACTTTTTAAATACTTTTTAAATAATTTTATAAAGGCAAGCAATGAAATAGATTAGCGTAATTAGGGCACCTGATGATGGCACTGTGTTGCCAAAACATGTCGTGAAGTAACAGGTGAAATTGAGTGCACTACAAGACGGCAACTGTATACATATCATGGATGAAAATCAGTGCAACAGGACGCTAAAATACAACATTATGAACAATTGTAAATACCCACAACTACTTTAACTAAACATTCCTTTCATTACATCATTCACTTGTCACCTAATACTGATCCCACTTAATCAGGTGGTTGTAAAACCGCTGATAAATAAACAGATGTGATAATTTCATATCTCATGTTTTTGATGGGTCATAATTATGCAGAAAGTATATTTACTTGCAATAACTTTTTATTTATTTATTGGCACTTTCAAATCTTTAGAATGAATATATTCAAATTATAGAATGTCCAGTGAATAATTCATTTGAATGGATGTTAAAGAAAGTGGCTTGGCCTACATTATGATACAAATATTATTTTTCTGAACATTAACCCTCATCCTGCTTTTATTTAAAACACTGCCCTGTTTATATGTCAAAACAGAATGTTTCAGAGATGGATTCTGTCTCTGTCTTCAGGTAAAACCTACTCAATTGGGCTCACTCAATAGAGCTAGTCCCTATCTCCAGACACCTTCACCAGCACCACTATAGGTTTTAAAACCAAGCACAGCATAAACTATCTGCAAGAGCCAAGGCAAAACATTAAAATATTAAAAATTCTACACATATGAGACCTTGCACCAGAGAACTATGAAGATAGAAATCATCACTGGAGACACCAAATTCTCTGTATGGTACCAACACAAGAAAAACAATTCTTCCAGCACAGTCTACACTGGACGGAGTTGTAGTTTTTTGACTTGTGCTGTGATAACGGGAGTCCACATGGGAGATATGTCCAAACCAGGTTGACTGATCAGATGGTCTATTAGAGACATGTAGGCTGATTCCTTGTATTTCCTGTATGTGGTGTCTGGTTCAGTCTGCAAGACCTTCACTTCATTCCAACATATTTTGTGTTTTTTTTTGTATGCATATTGGGTTAATTTTGATTTTTCAAGCAGACCCTGTGTCAGGTTATATTTGTGCTCCCTAATGTGTACTTCTAAAGGTCTGCTTGTTTCACTGCTGTAACATCTGCCACAATCACATGGGGTGCTTTATGCACGCTGCTTCGTCTAGACCAAATCACTACAACATAGCAGCAACATCAACATAAGGAGCAGTGGTGCACATATCATCATAAGAAAATCTAATATACATCACTCCAAATAGTTGACATACAGAATACTGAACATAAGCTCCACAAGACGATAGTGAGGTCAAGACCACGCGACCTAACTTATGTGAGAAGATCCCAATATGCAGACGCCCCGCACTTTAGTCGCATCTACCATCAGAAAATTACATCAACACGTAGTGGTCACAAATTTTTAAAGAGCTTTATCACAAAATATTTCGTTTCAATTTTAGTACAATTACGATTTTTATGTTTTAAACTTTATAGTCTTTAATTTTTAAGTTTCATTATCGAAGTATTTTAAAATTTCAACTGAAAGACTCAATTTATGGATATAAAAACACTCAAATGCACAGTAAGGATTCTTATTGAAGAATTAGATGCAATTCAACAACTGAATCAGGTATCATCGTAGCCATGATGATGACCCAGCATAAGGGTCGAAACATGTAGCGTTAGTAAAAACAAATGTTGATAAGATAGTGTCTACTTTGTTTTAAATACAGAATATTATTGTGTAGACTGCATACTTTTGTATACATTTTATGTACCTTGTTTATAACACACAACAGGATGTGTACTGTTAAGACTCTGCTATTTTATTTCATATGCTGAAAATAAAAGAATTAAATTTCATTTAAGGTTTTTGTGCAGTATTTAATGGTCTGCACTGTATGTAAACAATTTTCAAGTTCATTATCAGTTTTGAAATTTCACAGGATGTTAGGTTAAAATATGTTGTGCTGTAGGCAGACTTTCCAGATCTAAGGTTTGAAAATTAGGTGTATTTTATATGGGAATAATAATTAAAGGTAAATCTTTCCTTTTTGGGACATAATGGACAAGTTACATAATAAAAGTAATTTTACTTTTATAATTAAAGTGGCTGATTTCAAATGGCCAGGCTAAAGATTGAGACAAATTTCAAGGATTATAGATAAATCTGCTGTAAAAGAAATATATCTGTTGGGTCATATATGAAGTTCAGTATGAAAATTATTTTTGTGTATCCATAAGTACATGAAATACAGTGTTAATATTTTTGTTTCAGGTACAGAAGAACATTTCTGTTGATAACAATAGTGTTCGGTTTAATTCTGTATCTTGGTCCAAGTTTCCTAAAATGGCTTTTCCGGTCAGATACAAGTGCAGAAGGTGAGTGTTGATGAATGAGTACCAGTTAGTACATGTCAGGTTTAAGCTTTCATTTGTAAATTAAAAATGTATTACTTTTTAAAGTTTAATTTTATATGTTAGAATAAGGTTAGGAAAAATATGGCTCCTTAATATTATGGAAAAGATGAGGTCAGCAAAAAAAAGAGCACAGCTTCCATTATTTTTCCTGTAGTTTATGGCTGTCATTCAAACCCAGCTCTGTAACTTGTATTTTCCCATGTTTAACGCACTTTCAGATTGATGATTATTGCTGACTTAATGTACTGAACTGACTGCAATAAGACACCCAGGAAGTAACATACGTGACAGGGGAGTTCCATTGACAAAATCATTGTATTTATGATGGCTTCACCTTCACATACAGGGTGTGTCCGGAAAGTAATGCAATTTGTTTTTTCCCGCCGCTGTCCCGGTTGCAGCGCATTCGGACCGGTTGGGAAAGGGAGGGGGCTCTTAGCTTCTCAACACTTCCAAGCTCAGTCTGCTCTGAGCTCTGGGAGTGTCAAGATCGGTGTTTCCGTGAACCTCCTGTTAATGCCTATGTCACAACGCGCAATGGAGAAAAGTATCGAACAACGTTACACAATCAAGTTCTGTGCTAAACTGAACAAAAGCCTCGCCGACACCCACAAAATGATTCAGGAAGCCTACGGGGACTCTGCTCTCTCCTATTCTCAAGTCTCCAGGTACTTGAAGTTGTTTAAAAATGGCTGGGAAAAGATGAAAGATGACCTCCACTCTGGACGGCCGTCAACCAGCAAAAGTGACAAAAATGTGTCTCATGTTCGTGATTTTTTAAATACCGATTGTTGAATGAGTGTTCAGATGATAGCAGAGAATTTCAGTATTCCGAAAACCACTGTGCATGACATCGTTACTAAGAATTTGCACATGCGGAAAGTGTGTACCAAGTTGGTCCCCAAATTGTTGACTGACGACCACAAGAACAACCGAGTTATGATCGCGAGTGATCGCAGACTTCTTTTAGTTCCCAAGGAACAAGACCGCCCTGAAAGGAACCTGTTTGGAACCATTGAAGTGATCCAAACCGCTGTGACACAGGCTCTAAACAAGGTCCCCGTCGATGCGTTCCAGGATGCCTACCATGCATGGACAAGTCGCTGGCAAAACTGTGTGGATGCCCAGTGGGAGTACTTTGAAGAATTTTAAACGTTTATAACAATATCTTGATTTTTTTTTTTACAAACTTAATTGCATTACTTTTCGGACAAACCTTGTACTTTGTTATATATAAATATATATATATATAAATGCCATCTGTATTTACTGAGTAGGAATCAGTACAGCTCCTCAGTAGAAAACTGGGAAGCAGTATAACTGAGAACAACAGAAATGCTATTGGAGCAGCCTCTTCTAATCAGAAAGTGTGGTGGGGGTGGATGTGTAACTTGACCTATGATAATACCGTGATGTTTTGCATCAAAACTCTACCGTTTTTCTGTGTCGATGGGTCATTTATGATTGATGAAATATATGTTCGTGAAAATATGTTTGTAATCTGTGATGTGAGTAATACTGTGTGTTCTGTATAGAATATTTTAAATTCTGGAAACACGCCAATTATAACAACCATCTACATAATTCATGGTCATGCTGTTATTTCCAAAGTTCTTGATTCTGGCCTTGAAAACAAGACATTCATCTTATTGGAGAGTACCCACTTTTCCAAGGAAGTATTTTAGCATTCTTTACAGGGAACATTCAGCTGGTTGAACTGTATTGGAGCAGAAGTATTATACTCGACAGGTAGTTATGGAGGTCCATAAAATCAATTAAATTTTTGTTTCAATTTGCAGACATAGCTGAAAGATGTTTGCGTGACAGACTGAGAGCCTTTTATTTTGCTGCTGAAGATTTCAATGTCAATATTCAACACATTCCACTACAGAATCAAGAGAAGCCATATATTCCGTACATAGGGAATGGAATGTTTGGACTTCACGTACATGCAGAAAGCACATTGTTCATACGGAATGGTCGTGTTTTGTCACTTCCAGTCAGCTACCGCCCTGTTGTTACAGTTTTATCACCAGCAGGTTTTGGGAAAGCACGTGAAGCAGTTGTGGTACATTATTTAAGTGGAATAGTGCACAGGTATCAGTGTTACAGCAGTGGACTCTATATGTCGTACCAGTATTATGCTCATAGGACTTTACCAGCTATTCTGGTACAAGAAATTAAAGTTACAAACCCAACAAATGAAAATTTAAATTTGGGTTCACAGCAAATGAAAGAGACTGACTGGCCAACAGCTGCAACAGAAATTGTACAGTAAGTTAATACTTTAGAACACTAAGTTTATAGAATTTAAGTTGAACAATATTGCATTATTTGTGAAAACTAATATGTTTCCTTCTTAACTACATGTCTGTGAAATTACTGTGATTCTGAAAAAGATATATGAAAGTGCAGGTCTTAATCTCTGCCATTCAGTGGGTGACAAATGAAAAATCACACACACACAATATTAGTCCTGTGCAATATTGTCTCATGTTTGGGTGACTGAGACACGAGGTATGGATTGGTAATTGAATTTATTAACAACCTACAGGTCATAACAATACTTAATTATTATACTATTGCAGGTTTACACCATTTACACTCACTACACGCTAACCTTCTTATTCTGTATGCAGTCGTTCTTACGTATTTATAACACAGGAGCTATACAAGTCTCACTCAATTACTCCCAGTCTTACTGCACTATAGCACACATAAAGTCTTGACATCACACAATAAGTCTTCGCTGGCTGACTTCTCAGCTACAACTCACTATCACATATTACACATAAAATCTTCCAATCACTCTTTAGATCCTCTCAGTCTGACTACCCGAATGCTTCTATACTCTGTTCTCATGCATCAGCCACTGCTATTTCGCTCTCATAGCTCGTAACTAACCCAGAACTCAGGACTATGTCTCACACACACATATAGGTGAGGGACAGACAGCGTGCATCATCGTAAAGACGTCATGTGATTGCTACCCCCTACTGTTGTGTGATGTCACTGCACTTGCAAGAAACATGTCACATGATGGCCAGATACTGTTGTGTGACATCACAGTGCACGTGTTGCATAGCACTAGTCCGTCCGCAGATGTAGAAAGCCCTGTTCGTATACTGTTGGCCGCATGTATGTTGTGGCTGTTGTCTATCAGCGGGTGTACATGCCACAGTATTGTTTTATGTGCAGATGTAACAGTTCTGTATTGTATTTTACTACATTTTAAAATGAAAATGCCTCAGAAGCCAGGACCGTGGTTTCGAATTCCACACAAGGCATGGATGTCTGGCATGTGTGTGTGTTTATTCTGTGTTGTGTTGTCCTGTGTTTATGTAGAGGCCTTGTGACGAGCTTATCACTCGTCCAAGGAGTCCTATGATCTGAAAAATGATCGTGAAATTGAAAACTCAGAGGCCAGGGCCCAAGTGAGCTATAGGGCCGGTGAAAAAAATTAAAATCCACCTTGTTCCTCAGTGAATAAGATTTATTTAACTATTAATGTGCTGGTAACAAGAAAGAAAAAATGAAGGAAGAATGTAGTTAGAAGAATAAACTGTATCGCTAATTTTTGGAATAATAAGCCATCCAGTGTAACAACTTTCATGGAGTAATATAGCCTTACATATTTTGGCCCCCTGGGGCTATCCTCAGAGGCATGACAGTGAAAAGAAGTTAGCTTTCCATTTTTAGATCTTAAAATATGGTTCACAATTATAAGTTATATAATTCTTATGGAGTATTTCTTAAAAGATTTTGCAGTAAAAGTATAGTTCATTAGGCACGTAAAACACTGCCTCACATTTTATTTTCAGTTTTTTGCATGTTGTTGGGCTCTTTATCTTATTGTTTGTTAAAAATGTCTGTAAGAATAACATGGGAAAGGTGTTTCAGTATTAATCGTGTGATTTTGTCAAAAATTAAATATAATTAATATAGATAAGTAGTGAATTACATACCTAATTATCCTGTCAGTTGTGTGTTGTATCAGTGTGTGCTGGGCTGGAAGCTGTTGAGATGGTGTGGAGGGTGGGTTTGTATAATGTTGGCTATAGTGAATTGTACATTACAGATGTATGAAAGGAAATATTTATTTTTTCTGTCCCTCACTGTTTATGAGTTAAGTAAATACAGAGTAATGAATACAGGAGTACTGGATCAGAGGATGGTATCTGAAATGACAAGGAAACTGATGTCCTCTGCATTAAGATTTTGTGCAGCACAGACTGAAATTCTGTGACCTTTTTCTAGAATGCATTCTGCATGCAGTATGAGGGATATGTTAATTTCCTTCCTCCAGTTTTCTCCTATGATTTTTCCTCTAATTCTTTTTCACTGTAAACCTAATGCAGCACTTTTTCTGTCAATTTAAATAGTTATATATTCAATGGCTGTATCATAGCTCAAGCGGTTAGTTGCTGGCTTCCCACCGTGGCATCCCAGGTTCGATCCTGGGTCTGGCCAAGTGGGATTTGTGGTGGACAAGGTGGTGCTGGTCAGGTTTTCTCTGAGTACTTCAGTTTCCCCTGCCAATCTTCATTGCACCAGTTGCTCCACAATCACCCTCACCTATCGTCTAGAGCTGGCTGGACTCAGTACAAGGGAGTTAGTCCCACCCCACTAGCAATAAAAAAAATATTAAATGTCATAACAGCTTCTCCGTTTCTTGGTAATAGAACCATATTGTGCAACATCATAAATAATGGTGTTTGTCATTGTACCTGGGCTTGATCCATTTGATTTCAGTTCATATGATCACAACTGTTCTATTTTAATTTTGTACTGTCCGTGGTAGCGTAGTGGGTTGAGGCACTATGCTACAAGCCAGAAGGTCACGGGATCAAATTCCAATGAGGTCACTGGATTTTTTCAATTGACCTAATCCTTCCAGCCGCACTATGGCCCTGGGGTCGACTCAGCCTCTAACAGAAATGAGTACCAGGAATATTCTTTGAATAATCTTGGTGGTAAAGGGCAGCTGGCGTGTAAGGCTGACAACCTTACCCCCATCTATGAGCCAGTTGTCTAGAAAAATGTGGGAACCTCAACATCTCACAACCCCGTGGGCCTTCACGGCCTGTTATGGGGATACCTTTACTTGTTTCTCTCTCTCTTTTTTTACTTTTGCTGTCATCTAATATTTCTTCCAAGTTGTTAATTTTCCAAGAGAATTACTGTATCAAAATTCTGTATGCATATCTTGTTTTTGAATCTTGGCTACATGACAAGTGATTGTAACCTCTTCAGTGAATCAGAAAGCTCCATTTTATAAAGTGTCCTTCATTCTGCAGTTTAGTTATCTTTCAGAGGCATAGATATTTTCTATAATACCTTGTTTTCACTGAAAATAATTAAGATTGAACGTTCATTCAATTCTCTTTTCAGATTTGAACGCAACACAGGGAGTTATGAGAATCACACATACACTGGAGTGGTTAATATTCCTTTATCATCTGGTGTAGTTGCTGTATCTATTGCCTCCAAGAATGTTCCACGCACACTGGAGGTAAGTTTATTTATGAAATTTTATGCTTTAGTTATAATTTGAGTAATAAAGCTTGGTCTTCTTTGTGTTATGGCTTGAACTTTTCTTTGGCAAGGAGTGTGGATGAATTCATAGAAATAGACACAGAGTAACTGTAACTGAGAAACTTGTTTTATATGTATGGAATTAACATATTGTCACGTGTTTGGTGTACAACGCAACAAATAACTTCACGCCTTATTTGATATAGCGAATTTTATTTCACATTTGCTCTTACAATCACACAAATTACAAGCTCAACATTACTGCCATTGGCAGTATCACAGATACTGTACTGCAATTAACTGGTGACTGACTCGTAACTAGAGATCTGGAGAACTGTAACTCGTTCACTTGAGAGCTGTAACTAACTCATAGGCTTGCTCGGAACTGACTGCGATTAGTCTTCACTGCTCCATATCTAGCCTCGTTCCGGACAACACTGAAAACAGCCACGTAATAGGCACCACTGTTGTCTGGCAGCGTGTTGCTAGCAACGCTGTCGGGAGTTGTTTACTGCTGCCTAGCAACCGCGGTATCCCTTGGTGACGTCACCGCCGGCAGTGTAGGCGAAGGAGTGTTGACTCGCCTGTTACCTTAGTAACGACAGTGATCCGATAGCGTTACATAACCACTGGCGGGGGGAGGGGTGTCCTGCATAGCACAACGTGTCACAATATTTTAGGGATGTAAGATTGTCCAAAAAATGGTTAACACGAGATGCAGCAACATATTTTTGTTAACAAAGAGATGATTAAGGACATTTTTATACTATAAAGATACTTCCCTTGGTAACATTATTCAGTCGTTATTTCTTAATGATTGCAGGTTAAAGCACGTTCTTCCACAAGTATTCAAGTCCTAACAGCTGTTAACTATTCTGAACCATTAAGTGAAACAAAATATGACACATGGACGGCTGTGGTTGAAAAGCAAGCTGGAGATGTAAGTATTTCAGTAGGATTCGTATAACGTAAAGCCAAGTGTCTGTCAGAATTACTGTTTTTTTTTNTTTTTTTTTTTTTTACTTTTCTAGTATTGTAAAGAACAGAAAATATGATGTTTCAGAAACAGATGCAGATGATGGAAAAAGTCCAAAAACCTTAATTTTGAGTGTCATCACCATCGTCAGTAGCCTTTAGAATCTACCAAGTATCCATGCATTCATCTTTACAGGCATTAAAATGTTAACTCGAATATAAAAGATCTCAAGAAGTGGGCAGAGAGAATAAAATATAAAGTATGAATATTTTTAGGAATATAAATGTTTTTGTACCTACATGAGACTGTAGGTGTAGAAATACACACATTTACTTTTTCCAGTTTTTATAATTCAGAGATCCATAAATAGAGTGAGTTTCATATTAGAGTTAAAAGATTTGAATGAGCTACACAGTTTAGGTTATATAGATGCAAAATATTAACTTTTAAATAGTAAAATACTAAACTCGAAACCTGTTAGAGTACATTAATTTTGTGTGTGCTAAGTCATTCTTAAGAAAGTAGATAACACTTAATTTGAGCATAGAATTGGCAGTGTTTGCTGAAAATTTGCTTTGCTCTGCTATAATTAATTTATCTTAGAAAGTTGTGGAATATTTGACCGAACACACATATAATATATTTTCCAGTGGAAGTTATGAAAACAGGTTGTACCCGTCTGACTTTACCTCACTCACTCCAAAGATACATTAGTCCAAACCAAACCTGACTTAACTAGGATGGAATGCGAAACCATGATGGGAAACAAAACTTTATATACAATTTAATATTGGAAAAGCGGCCTCCGTAGTCTAGAGGTAATGTTCCCACCTCATGACTCGTAGTATGCGGGTTCAAATACCTGGCGGAGGTCGTCAAATTTTTAAGGGTGGAAAAATTCAGCTAACAAGTCCTCCAGGAGGGACTTTAAGCCGTGGGTCCCGTGTCGTAGCTTTACGGCACGTAAAAGAACCTCATATCTCCAAAGGAGGTCACTGAGCCAAATTACGGACGTTTCCCGCCCAACAGCAGTCTCTAATACCTCCGGTAGATGGGGGAAGCATTATAGATACCTCTCAGCTAGTAGAGCTGGTCTCGCTGGCTGGGCGGGACTGATGGTAAGCACCAGTACCAGTAGGATATAGAGACTGGTAGAATATCATAGAGGGAAGCACAATGGACCAATACAGGTCTAAGTGCATGGGGAAACCCACCCTCTCCAATAACTAACTGACTAACTAACTAATATTGGAAAATTAAAATACCATAGATAATCATGTCTGATACCTCTGTGAAACACTATAATATATAGTGTAATTATTAAGATTGTTCTCCCTTTGTATTTAGCACTTGAAAATGGCTCTGAAAAAAGTGAACCGGCACAGCTTCAAAGAAGATCACATGAATGTTTGGTCTCAGCTGTGGAGTACAGGAATTACAATCAGCTATTCGAAAGCAGCAGATGCTATCAATGGAGACAAGATAAATGCCACAATGTATTATATCTTGTCACAAGTTTCATCACCATACCATGAAGAAACTACTACAAAACAGAAGAAAGTGGAACTAACTAACAGTCTCTTCTATGCAGAAGGATGTTTTGGTGGCTATCACACTTTGTAAGCATCAGTTTTATTTTCACATTACTGAATCATTACTGTGGGAGCAAGTTCACTTTGTTATCGAAGCTAAGTTTTTGTCAGATTTGAGGCTTTCACGGCGGTGACTATGAAGAAAGCAGTCTTCTGGGATTTGGCACCGTGTATATGTGGTGTTAACCGACGTTTCGNTACACGGTGCCAAATCCCAGAAGACTGCTTTCTTCTAAGTTTTTGTCCTTTTCCATTTACCATATTTATCCAAATACAAAGTGTGGATATATACATCCACTCCCCATACACCTTCATGGCATAGTTCTTAATTAGTTAAACACAAGGACAACTTTACCTTTTTTTACCTTTATCTAAATATAAGGTAGCCACCCCTTAAAATTTTACATTTTCAGAAAAAAAAAATAACATATTTTTATCAATTTTAGAATTGGCCAGGCTTGTATTTTGCTAAAGGTCTGCATCCAGGAGTTAACCACAAATTCAAGCACCTGTTCATCTGTGTTTCTGTATCTTCCTTTGTTGGCTTCTTCAGATGTTTTCATGTGAAATTGGCATTTCCTCTAGTATACTTCAATAATGCTGAATTTTTCATGGCATATTGCAGTTGTCACCTTCTGCATTCTTCACAAACATTATTCATGTCATAACTGCATATCACATCTTTCAATATCTGTGACTCTGTAGAACCTACCCTTTGAACATGATTCTTCTCTGGCCCCTCTCTCTGAGCCAAATAAATATGGTTGTAATGTATACTCATATATCTTTTGAAGGTTCATCTACACACTGACACTGGCGCTTTACTATCACTCACATTGCAGCATTGGTTTTTGCTGATAGAGCTAACTGTAAATGTATATCCTTAACTTTGATCTCAGAAAGATCACTACAAAGCAGCCATATTACCCATCCTTAGAACATTGCTAGCAGAGTAAGAAAAGATGAAGCTGTCTCTGTTACAGGACATGGAGGCCCATACGGGTGTGAAAGGTCGAGGCTCCCACATCTTCTAGGCAATTGCCTCACAGATGGCAGTGAGGTCAGCCTTACACACCCGTCGGCCTGTACCCTTCATGAATCAGCCTGGTACTCATTTCTGTTAAAGAGTCTGAATAGACTCAAGGGCCATAGTGCAGCTGGAAGGATTAGATAAATTGAAAAAATCCACCTCATCAGGACTCGGGAAGCCGCAGTCTCCTGGCTTGTAGCATAGTACCTCAATCAACTATGCTACCGCAATCCCCCTTACTAGCAGAGTACTACAAACAACCCAGCGGCCGCCACTTGTCGGCGAAGTTAGTGCCAACTTTAGTGGATAGAGGGTGTTGTGGTCATCGCAGCAAATCCCCACGGCCATTAATTTCGGTTTTCTAGACCGGAGCCGCTATTTCCTTGAAATATATTCTCAGTTATCCTCACGAGGCTGAGTGGACCCCGTTCCAGACCCACTACTACCCAGAAAATCTGGTATCGCCGGGAATCGAACCTGGACCTCTGGATCTGTAGCCAGGAACTCTGACCTCTAGACCACAGAGGCAGAGTACTACTGGTAATGTAAATACACTGATGCCAGCATGGTATTTGCTAGATGTGCTAATGCAAGATAAACCTTGTTTTTTCAAGATTCCTGGACATGAAAAAGCCATCTTATATTTGGGTAAATATGGTATGCTCTTTAATGCTAGCAGAACAGTTTTTGTAGATATTTATAAATTTTAAAAATTACTACATAGGAATTGATGGGACTTTTTTAATGCCTGAAGCAAGATTATGTACTGAGACTTTTTCTTTTTAATTGGTTGACGCATTTGTAGACCACAATACTAGAAGTAGGTGTGCTGTTAGCATTATGCTCTGTTCATTTTTATACCTGTATATAACACCTTTCTAGTTTGAAATCTGAGCAAATCTGTAATGAAGAAGGAAAGTATTGCAGAAACACTGCTGAGAATCAAATGTTAAAGTCTCACATATCTAAGTCACTCATTTAATGGCATTTGATAATGTGTTTATCTTCTGTTTTTTAGACAGGCAGCTAATCTGTGGAGAGAACTTTCAACTGCAGAGGATGTAAATACTGCTGTATCCCTGTGGTTGCTTACTTTAGAAAAACAGGTGCGTAGTTGAGTTTTAGATTAACTGGCAGTGCAGCAGTCTCAATTTGAGTCTGGTTGTTCCATAAGGAAATGAATGCATTCAAATTTGAGCGAAGCAAGACATAATCATCATCCACAGATTGAATATACTCTTGACAAGCTCGGAGTCTGAAAGTCTTTCGTTTATTGGTCAAATGGTGCAGAATAAACCTAGTAGAGATCTTCTGTTTTCTGAGATCTTTCATGAAGATTTTGTGAATTGTTTCTCTGCTCATTTTGAGTCATTCAGTGATCAGTTGAAATCAATTCCTGAACTGTTTTGATCAAGTCATGTGTTCGAATGGCTGTTGGTTGTCCACTTCATTCATCAGCTTCAAGATTTTTATGGCCATCCTGAAATTTTATCTATCATATACGAGTGACAGCATTGTCACCATAAGCCTGATTTATCAGCTGGAAAGTTTCAGTGGTTGTTTTTTTTTTCCCATCTTGAAAGCAAACTTAATGTTCACTCTTTGCATCATCAATATGAACTGTCACAATAATCTGCACAGTACAAAATCTTCAACAAGACTGAACATGAATGACAAGAGAGAGGTGTCTGACCTTGTACAGGGAACATAATGAAAGAGTCAACTTACATAGACAAATTGAAATATCTTCCTACATTCTTTTAAATGCATGTAATGGACTCAGTCCTGGAATTTGTTTGTCATATATTGCATAAATTTGGAAATAACCTGTAAGAAGAATGGGAGACAACAGATTAGCACACAAGCTTAATGGAAGAGAACTTACAAACATCACTGACAAGAATCCATAAATTGTTAACCTTTTTTGTCTGAAGTGAACATACAGGTACACTGTAAGGTACGTTCATCATGGCCAGAGTACATATATTCATGCATTTGGGCATTTAAACACTGCTAATAGAAGCGCCCACATGCCATTAGTAGAAGCACATGCACAACCCTAAATAATTGTTTTTAAATATAGTACAACTCAATGTGTATACCTTCTTTTGTTATATGAATGTGTATATATATATATAAGCTTCACCCCATTCCATCACCTAACTGAATCTCACCTTAGTATGGTACTCCTCAAAGCACCTGAGAATGCACAGTCCCATGTCGCATTTATTTCCCTTTAGTTGGCTTTCAGTTTCATCATCGTCAAAATGACATTTCATTACCATTGTACAATGAATGAAGCCACGATATTCTCAGAAAAGGGGGAATATTTGTATAATACAGAACTACTTTATATATGTAGAAGCGGGAAAATCTTCTGTACAGTAGACATAAAAAATTATACCTTATCTGTGGGCATTCAGATGTCAATCATCAGCAGGAATTTAAATAAACTCCCTCCCGTTCACCCTATGAATATTCAAAAAGTCCAGCATTTAAAGGTTTAGTGGTCACATGACCAAATACTTCATAAAATGAGGAGTGATGATTATGCCATGTTAATGAGAGCACTGATATATTTTCAGGGTTGCCACAACCTTATAAAAGCTGGAGCAAGTGGTGTTGTCCAGGCCATGGTGTTAAGCTTTGGGGCTTTGCGTTTTAGTAATCAACATCTTGAATTCAATATCCACCCAAAATATCTTCATAGAGATTATATGTTCAGGTAATAAGAAACTTACACTTGCGTGTAAAACAGTTACAAGTTGCTTTTCTTTTTAACATCAAGGACTTTGTATTCAACGTTTTATCTGCTGTGTACACATATCAAGTTTCCAGTATTGTTTTTCCCAGAGAAATGTTATTAACATATTTTCACCATTGAGTAAGAGCTCTTTTTTAGCATACTTGCAAAGAAATAAAGATAGACTTGTGAGATCACCTTGCTCTGTTTGTGTCTCTCCCTCTATCAACTTTTCAATGCTTGAACCAATCTTTATGAAACTTGGTATGTATATCATGGCACCTGAGTCCATCTCAGTGGCTTAATTACTTACTCATGGCGCTGAGCCCTTCTGGAGGAGCCACCAATTCTGCAGCTACTCAAGAATTTCCCAACATTTTATGGAACACGAAGGTTCATTACTGTGTTCACAAGAGCCCTCCACTGGTCCCTATCCTGAGCCAGATCAATCCAATCCATGACATCCCATCCTATCTCTCTAAGATCCATTTTAATATTGTCCACCCATTTATGCCTTGGTCTTCCCAGTGGTCTCTTTCCTTCTGGCTTTCCCACCAATGTTCTATATGCATTCCTCGTCTCCCCCATTCGTGCTACATGCCTTGCCCACCTAATCCTCCTTGACTTGATCATTCTAATTATACTTGGAGAAGAGTACAAGTTATGAAGCTCCTCATATAATAGTTTTCTCGAACCTCCTATCACTTCATCTCTCTTCAGTCCAAATATTCTCCTCAACACCCTGTTCTCAAACACCCTCAGTCTGTGTTCCTCCCGTAATGTCAGAGACCAAGTTTCACACCCATACAGAACCACAGGCAAAATTATAGTTTTTTATATTCTAATGTTTATATTTTTGGACAACAGACGAGAAGACAAAAGGTTCTGGATTGAATGGTAGCAAGCATTACCCGAGTTCAGTCTCCTCTTAATCTCAATGGCTTACTTCATAAATCCCGCCCATCAGTCTCTCTCTCTCTATATGTGTTCCCCTTGTTATTGCTAGGCAGCAGCTCATTAAACACATTCCCACAGCAATGAAAAATTGTTGGAGGCATTTTCTATGCAGTTCATGTCTTAGGAAAGGAAAATATATGATTAATTCCTCCTAGAACTTAGTTGAGAAGTTTATTCAAGTTGAAAGATTGTTCATAAATTTGAATTACGAAAAGCATGTGCAGATTAATTTACTGTGCAGTTTTTGGAATGGAATTAAGTCGGCATAGATGAAATAAGTAGGATATTAACACATTCAGTACCAGATTCTTTTCTGAAGAAAAGGAAGTCCCACTATTAGACACAGATTGTGTGTTCTATATATAAAAAAAATGTGTATGTACTGCCAGTTGTACATTATGATTGAAATTTCACCAGACCAAAATTTGGTAAAATATCTGTATAAACAGCTTCCTTCATAATCCATAAAAACCCATAAATTTACATTTCTGGTATTCTGAATATTGATATCGGTTCCAGTGAATTTATTTACATACCTAGCGGTAAACATTCCAGTTTCACTTACTTGGATTTCATCTATTAACCAAAAGTGCAGCTATAAAAAGAATGAAAATTTTCAGCTTTAAATGGTGCCTGGTATTGAAATTTACCAAGGATAAAATACTGAAAGTAAGGAAGAATGAAAATATATTTTTGTGTATAGGTAATAACTCGTACAGTTTTGTTCAAAGTATGAAATTATGATATGGGTGGTGCCCACACACTTGCATGTACCTATGCCTCCTCCCCCACTGTACACATACTGTATATATCAATCTTTATTTTCTGTCTAAAATAAAGAAAGTATTCGAAACCTGATATTGTAAACGCCCAGTTATCTGGTATCAAAGCACTCAAAATTCTCATGCAGCCATCAGAAGTTTAAAAGAGAAGTTACAGAAGTCTGTATAATGTTTTTTTTTCCCCCCCCTTTGGCACTACAGCCCCAGTGGGCCTAGGCCTACCTCCATGAACTCCGTTCACTTCGGTTTTTCAAAATCTTACACAAACGATAGGACTCCTTGGGCGAGTGATCAGCTCGTCGCAAGGCCTCTACCTGTAGACAAACACAGAAAAACGCACACAAACATCCATTCCCTGAGTGGGATTTGAACCCACGATCCTGGCTTCCGAGCGAACGAAGACAGTGCATGCCTTAGACCGCTTGGCTAACGTGACCGGCTCTGTATAATGTTTATCAAGAACAAATTTGCAATGAACATATGTTCACTCACCATGTGTTAATTCTTGCATCCACCACTAGGAGTACTACCCATCTTCCTTAGATGCCTAGTTGAATCTGTAATCACATTACAGTACAGGTATATCAGCAGTTTTTCACTCATATAATTGCTATGACAAGTAAGAGGACTTATGCAAGAATTAAGGAGGAATTATGTTGTTTTGACTTTCTGCAAGTTTTTCTTACGTAACAGATTCATATGGCTAGGACATTCCCTTTGCCATACATGCTAGATAACAAGGAATTTGCTGCACAGGGGTAAAATTTTATGAATATAACAATGGGAAGAGAGATGTATAGTTTGACAGATATATGTGTGTTCTTATTGTCTTAATTTATGATGCAGTAAAGTGGGTTTTAACATTATATTTTCCTTGTCACAGGAGGCTAAATTATGGGAATTTGACTCATGTAAATATAAGTGTAGTTGTCCAGGATGATAACAAGGCTGTTTTATATGTGGCTTTGGATCGGAGTGACAGATCATACTATGCTTGTGATGGCGGCTGTTTGGATGATCCTGTGCTTCTTGGGTATGTGTGTACTAATAACTGTTACAACATTAGTAAAAGAAATTAGTTATTTAAAACAGGAGGAAAGGAGTAAAATACATTATCTTCGTTTTCTGTTCTCTAATTTGGAAAAACTGTGAATACTATGCAGGTGTCCCTTAGTTTACAGAAGTAATTCCTTTGATGAAGACATTTCATAAGGTGAAAATTCATAAATTAGAAATGATATTCCCATTACTTTGCCTGTAAAAGTCACTGACTCGTTCATGAATAGCAGAAACCCCCCCCCTCCCCCGTGTTTTTACTGTATATTTTAACAGTAAAGAAGCATTAAAATAAGGACAGTATTACTTGTTTATAATATTTATTCTTTCAAATGCAACTGTATTATTTTATTTATGTTTACTATTTTTACACGATGCAATTTTGTGCCAATGACATACATTTCTGCCATTTTCTTGATTTTTTTATTTCTTTATGAAGATCATATGTACTGTTGGTGCTGACAAATTTATGGTCATACGTGTCTTTGGATCACTGCCCTCTTTCGTTGCTTTTTATTATTTCCATCTTTGCAGCCAAAATAATTGCCTTCCTTACTTTCTTTGCCTTGTCGATACTTCTTACAACCATTTTCACTTGTTTGAGAACCATGATGGGCACAGATGTTTATGGATAAAATGTAAGCACCAAGAGCACAGCTGATTCTGTAAGATGACAGTGAAGTGTGCAGACAGACTGGGAAAGTGGGAGATGTGTGCTTCTCCCATGTATTGTGTGGTGTTAAGATTTCTCACTTCTTCATGTCATCCAGACCGGCTCTGGGGTCCACTCAACCTCCTATCCAAGGGGTACCCTGGGGATAAAGTGGACGTGGCGTGAAGCTGACCACTCACCTCCAACTAGTGCTGAGATCAAGAAAACGTGGGTCTATACATCCACTCCCCCATAAGTCTTGATGGCATAGTGCTTAATTAGTTAAGCACAGGGATGCTTTACCTTTTACCTCAGTCTCTAATGGTAGAAATCCTCGTATGGCAACCTGTGTTCAAAAATATGTAAAGTATTTCTTTGTAGTGTTGGCTATACTTTCTGATGATGACCAGTAGTGACAGAAGATGTAAAGGCAATATTTTATAGTCTTATATTAAACTTATTGTACTTGATGGACATTACTACTCATTCATGTGTTTAGAAGCATAATGACTCAAGTTATTTCTTATAAAGATATTGTTTAGATTGTTTATGAACTCCATATTAACTCTGATTCTTCCAGTACTTGATGTCCAAATTTAGTAATTCATTATTCTGGTATTAGTCAACAGAAAAAACAGTTTCCTGTCAAATTGACTGATCCAGTGACAGCCATATTATATATTACATATGACAAGCAGCATATGGAAGAATTGAGGCATACAATACACTTGAAGGAAATAGTTGAAGGTAAGATGGTACATTGTATGGTACAGCATGAGATGTTAAATTAAAACATTCAGTTTTATGAAATGTTCTTCATTCTCTATCTAGTTTCCTGTATGAACATATGACATTCTGTTTCATTATTATGGAATTCAGTTTTACAAAGGCAAAGCTTTTATTATCATTAATAAAATAACATTTGAAATATCACAAAGTAATCAGCTTGTCACAAGTCAGCTATTGTGTCATGTACCATTGTCCTTTATTCTTACATAATGAAATGGATTGTTATGAAAGGGAGTAGGTGATTTTAACTAATATTGATTCCATAAATCAGTGCAATTAGCAGAAAAACTCGTATTTATTATGAAGTATGCATTTGGTATATTGCCTAAGATAGATAAACAAAGTAGGAGAAATAAATTTTGGGACATGTGAATAGTTTATACCGATAGGTAGATAAAGAAATAAATAAATGTTTCTTGAGCTAAGAGGTATGTTAGGCCAGTGTTTCTCAACCACCGGTCCCTCGTCTTATAGAGAAAACAGTTTACCAGGCCGTGGTCTGACAGGTTCAGAACCACTGTGTTAGACCATCACCATTATAAAAAACAGAAATAAAAGTCACATTATCTCAAAACAAGAAATGGGCTTGCTCTGGGAGCTGTAATCTGTGTTACAAACCTACAGTTTTATCAGATAAAGTGGTACACATATAGTTAAAGCAGTGGAAAGATAACAGATTTGTAAGTCTGTATAAGTAGAATATTTTCAATGGCCAGAAATGTTCTTTATGTGTACTTGGTCATGAATTTGTATTGTACTTCGAGCATTTTAATATTGGCCGTTAGTGCGCTTGTTATCCATTTACATTGAAAACCAGATGTTATTGTGCAGGGAATCACAGAATTTTAATCAAAGTTTCTGTGAATTTATACAAATTCAGTTATATGATCATTATTTTAGTCATTGGTCAGTTATATTGTGGAAACATTCATGTGAACATAATCATCATCAGATGCAGTATGTTCATTCTGTACCATTTTGCATATGGTTCAGACTTATTACAAGAAACTCAGTTCATAGTGGAAGAAACAAAAGTTTGCAAAAAATATTTCAAATTTTTAGCAAAGTTATAACATGTATGTGACAGTGCCCCCAGTGATTCATAAGCAAGTTTCAGTTACCAGAGTTAGAGAGTCTTTAAAATGAATTTTAACATGCCCAAACTTGCATAATACTTTGATAAATAAGATATTCTTGAAAGGGTTTATAAGGCAGAACATTTCCCTGTATATTGTCCCTAAGCACAAACATGTCCACTGTGTAAGGGTGCCTGTTGTAGATTTGACCCTTGGTTTGTTGTTTCAGCTCCAGCACATGAACACCATGTCATTGCATTACACAAGCATGGACATCACCTAGGAGGCCTGCCTACCTTGTTCTGGGTGTCAATCTGCATTCTTATTGTAACATTTCATTTATTTCTATTCAAACTCATCTACAATGAATACTGTGGCCAGCAACAAGATAAATACCGCACCAGGTATGGAAAACTTTGACCTGGTTCTCTCAGTCATGAGTAAGAACCCCAAGGTAGAATAAACATTTAATTCCATGGACAGACAGTTTGAAAGTGCTAAATATACAACAGTTGTTTGAGAAACCATTCTGTGAGTTTATGTTAAAAGTTCTGTGTTAAATTTTGAAAACAGTACTTTTATTTAGAATTCTAATCTTTAAATGTGCAGATTTCAGTTAATCCCTTCAATTAATTTGTCTTCCAGTATTTGTTTCTGAATACTTTCTTCGTTATGGGAACATTGAAGGTTTTACAAAATAGACTGTATTGAATGATAATATTGTTACTGCATAATAAAAATACAGAGTTTATTTTTATTTGAAATGCCCCAACTATATAGCATCAAGTTTGTTCGAATTTTTTGGAATATCTGACATGGTAATTTGATTATCATAATTATAACATTGTTATAATTGTAGAATTTTTTAATTCGGTTTCTTTACGAGTTAGGCACTTGTGAGATCTGATGTTTTCATGACGATGAAGATTCATTTTGTGGTATACATTACGAGTATGTATACAGACCACCTCTGTGGTCTAGTGGTCACAGTTCCTGGCTACAGATCCAGAGGTCCCGGGTTTGATTCCCGGCGCTACCAGTTTTTCTGAGAAGAAGTGGGTCTGGAAAGGAGTCCACTCAGCCTTGTGAGGATAATTGAGGAGCTAATTCAAGGAAACAGCGGCTCCGGTCTAGAAAACCTAGATTAACAGCCGTGGGGATACATTGCACTGACCACGTGACACCCTCTATCTGCCAAAGTTGGCACAAACCTCGCCAGCAAGTGGCAGTCACTTGGTCCCTATAGTTTGCTTGTGGACTACAGGCCACGGAGTTTGTTTTTTCAGTAGTTCAGATTATAGTGTCAGGTGGTTGATAATTAGTGAATGATGAATTGTAAGTGATTTGGAAGGAAACAGTTGTGGCCTACTTGTAATTTTAAGTACTATCCTGACATTTGCCTGGAAAGACTGACCATGAAAACCTGTCATGATATCCTATCTCCTGGACCTCCCAAATATGGAGTACCATACCCTTAATTGAGGTATTTTGTCATATTGTGGTCTTCTGGTTTATAACAATTTGCAGTCTAGTAGGTGGGTACCAACTCCTTATAGGAACATGCTTCCACCTTCCACTTCTGCCCCGTAGATGGAAACAGGATGTCCATTTAAAACATTGGTATCCACCTATCACACAACATGTTGTCACAACCAAGGAGATCAGTATATTAGAGTTATACATTTAGATACTAAAACTGTTAAATTGATGAGTTACATCTATACTGTGAATTATATTTACATTTATATTTGTACGTAGGTAAGTCAAGTAAGTTACAAATGGATATAGAACTTAAACAAATAAGAGTACTGATTTGAAAAATGCTTTTATTTCTCAACATAATCTCCCTGTACAGTGAGGCACTTATCCCATCTTTTCACAAGCCCCTGAAAACCAGCAACATAAAATTCTTTGGGCTGCTGTCGGAACCAGGTGGTGACTGGGATCACGAAAGCATAGGGCTCACCGCATTCCAGCCTCAAGGACAAACCGTAAATGCCGACTCCTACTGTAACATCCTCAGGAAACTTCGTAAGGCCATTCAACGGAAGAGACCAGGACTCCTCACCAAAGGCGTGTTGCTCTTGCATGACAATGTGCACTCCCATACTGCCAACAAGACAAATGAGACGCTGCGAAATTTCAAGTGGGAAGTCCTCACGCATCCTCCATATAGCCCCAACCTTGCTCCAAGCGACTTGCATTTGTTCGGCCCTCTTATACATCATCTTTCAGCTGAACATTTTCCGGCGATGAAGCTGTAGAAAGGGAAGTCACTGCCTGGTTCCGATAGCAGCCCAAAGAATTTTATGCTGCTGGTTTTCAGGGGCTTGTGAAATGATGGGACAAGTGCCTCAGTGTACAGGGAGATCATGTTGAGAAATAAAAGCATTTTTCAAATCACTACTCTTATTTGTTTAAGTTCTATATTCATTTGTAACTTACTTATTGACTTACCCTTATATATTGATATCAAAGTACAGTTGAGCATGGGCCTGTTTCTTTGAATTTGATATATTGTCATGAGAATATGATGTATTGTTAAATTAATTTTTTATGCAAGAGAACTTTTTAATTTCATTGTGGGATAAAACGTTGACATGCAAGAATATTATTTCAGTTTATAAAAATCCTAGCAAGTTTAAATAATGTAAGTTTTCAGATAGCCAACAGTATAACAAACTAAACATATTAGAAATGCTATGAAATGTGGAACAACTAGTCAGTAATTATTTTAGGATATGAGCAATTTTTAAGAAATTGCAGAATGATTATATCTAGGCATGTGTTGATCTGGGAATTTTTTTTAGATTGAAATAGGAATAAATTCTCTGATCTCAATTTGAAAGATGCTTTTGTCATGCTTTCTCAGTAACACAATTAAAATGATCTTAATAGCAAAATGAAGTGTTGGATTACAATTTGTAGGACATCTGAGTTGTGTTTCACCTTCCAGTCATTATCCTGAGATGTGTTACAACAATCAAGCACCACAGAAGAAATCTTTATGAGAATCTTTAATCATGTGATATCATGGCATAAACTTCTAAATTCTTGCATATAAATTATTCCCACCTCAGATAACTGTATTTTCTGGTGGAAATTTGTGCTTTTACTCAAGCCAGTTCCCTTACCACCACCCTACTGCAGAACTCATCCCTGTATTTACATGGTAGTGAAATTCCCAAGAGTGGTTGTATAACCTGAAATTTTTCTCATTTGGTTTCATTGCTTATAATTTTCATTGAGGAATCCATAATTAAATTTATATTAACCTTTAAGAGAAAACTTTTAAACCTCCAGTGAATTAGCTTGTGACCTTGTTTTTAAATATTTCTAAACGTCCAAAATGCAGTGTTCAGAAGATAAATTGTAATTATTGCATTTTTTAAAGCTTTAAGCTCCAAATGAAAACTTGACTGTTGGAAGAAGTGATCCACTTATCTCTGTTCAAAGTTTTGAAATAGTCTGTACATTTGCACACTGAATTTACATTTCTTAATAAATTTCATTATTTTCCCATTTTACTTCAATGTGATTTTATATTTAGCCCTGAAAAGTGCCAGAAACTTTTGATGACAACTTTATGTTGCATAGCCATGAATTATGACCACTGACTGCTTCTTCCCACCCTTACTTTGGGACATCTACCAGGTCAAAAGAGGTTACTGAACATAAACATAACTATTTCCTTTTTGTACAGCGGTTTTTCTGTTCCAAGAACAGAAACAATGGGTATTACGTATGATAAATTTCTGCGAGACTTGGCCATTATGGTCTGCTGAGACAGGAAACAAACAGTACCAGCTCATTTTACTTTATTCTCTCTTAACGTGTGTTTCATAAGTCATATCTCTGCTCTGCTGTTTGGACAAAGATGAGATTGAATACTTGACAGCAAATGTGAGGCCACTAAGAAAACCTGTGATGAAACAGATGAGGAGGAGGATGACATGACAGAACAACTTTCATTCTACCCTGCCAAAGAGTGTACAAGTGAGATTGATTAATGGGCCAAGTCCATAACATCAACACAAATGCCGGTTCTGACAAGTTGATTCCAACACCACCTAAACCTTGAGGGGTGTTAGAGTGGAGATAACTGGCAGGTGGGACAATCAGTAGTATCCATCAGTTCATTGTGATATGGCTGGCACCCCTTATAAATTAAGACTTAATTCCATACAGTGTTCATGTGTTGTATTTTGTGACTGTTATCACTTTGTTGGTGGAGGAAACCAGTTGACACTTCAAACAATATTTAGATTTCCTTGATGTAGACTTTCTTCAGTACCTGACATAACTGGACCTGAAATGTGTCTGTTTCAAGCACTTATTATTCAGATGGTACAAGATACACATGACAACCTGAAATACTATTGGCCAACTACTGAACAGTCCATTTCACTGTTTTATGGCAGAACAGTGAGAAGTGTCAGATTCCTTCACATTTTGAGATTTCTCCATTTTTCAGTTACAGTGCTCTTGACAATAATGATCCAGACTGCGACACACTGTGGAGGCTAAGACGTATTTCTGACATGCTGAATGATGCATACACAAAGTAGTATGTCCCCTCTGAACATTTGGCTGCAGATGAAATTACAGTACTTTTCAAGGGGAGCATAATCTTCAGACATCACATACCCAAGGAATACATACGTTGTGGAATAAAAATTTATTATGTGGAATGAATGGTTACATATGATATGAACATCTACCTAGAGAAGAACAGGATATTTATGACCTCAGATATGACAATTACACATGCAGCTGTAAAACATTTGGCAGAAAAGGTGGAATCACATGGACATATGGGGTATTTAGAGGTCTTTTGATCAAATGACATATTCAGTGATCTAACAAAAAAAAACTATCAGTTTTGTACAGAAAGGGAGTGCCATAGATCTCTACTTGCTGCATGCTTCTCATTAGTTTATTACTTGATTTATCCTTTGGCCCTGAAGGTGGAACCAAGGCATTACTCTGAAATGTCAAAGATGATAAGTCATCTTCATGAGATCTGCTTGCTGTCTGCTTGTTGCTGGTTTATTGTAGGAGCACAGGAATGGGTCAGTATGTTCCTCTTAAATGTTGATGGCTTTCTACCAGAATGGAGAGTATTTCATCCCAGAAGACAGCAATCTTTATAGGATGTGCTTGCTACCTATTTCTTACTAGTTTATTGCTTAGGTTACCCTTCTACCCTGAAGATGGAGGCAGTATGTTCCTCTGAAACACTGGTACACTTATACTAGACTACATTGCATTACATACCTGAACACAGTACTCTTCATAGGCCCTGCCTGCTGTCTGCTTCTTGCTCGTTTCTTTCTTGGCTTCCATTTTGATCCTGGACACAGTACGAGGGGGTATCCAAAAGAAACCGAACTTATTTTTTTTTAAACTTAATTATTCAAATTTTAAGCACAAACCTTCAATCCCCTTCAAAGTACTCTCCACTTACACTAATACACTTGTCTAGTCTTTTATTCCATTTTTCAAAACATTGTCGAAATTCATCTTTTGAGATGCTTGACAGCGCCTCCGTCGTTTTTTCCTTTCATGTCTCTTTTCATTCGAGGAAACAAAAAAAAAAAGTCGTACGGGGCAAGGTTGGGTGAGGAACAGGGTTCATACCATTTTTCGTCAAGAATTGTCATACAGACAGGGCTGTGTGAGCAGGGGCATTGTCATGATGGAAAAACCAGTCACCCGACTGCCACAAATCTGGCCGCTGAGCTCCTAGTCACTCCCGACAGCTCCACAATTTCTTCAATGGTCCATCGTCGATCTTCCTTGATGATTTCACGAATTTTTTCAACATTTTCATGTGTTCGGGCCGTGGAAGGACGACCAGAACGAGGTTTGTCATCAATTGACATTTCACCATTTTTGAAACGGGAAAACCACTCAAACACTTGAGTTTTCCCCATAGCATCGTCCTTGTACGCCGTTTTTAACATTTCAAGAGTTTCTGTTCCACTTTTCCCGAGCAAAAAGCAGAATTTCACCGCCGCACGCTGTTCACGAAAATCAGCCATTGCAAAAACGACAATCACACAAAACAGTTGTCACTATAAACTCTGCCGAAACTAGTCCTTACCTTCTTAAGCAACGGTAGTCAGCTTATTGACTCAGGAATGTTAGCTCTATGCGCTCATAGCGGCATAACGCGGTACTACAAAAGCTCTGCCCACAAAAAAATTAGTTCGGTTTCTTTTGGGTACCCCATCATATGTTCCTTCAAAATGTCTGTGGACTTCTCTGAGAGTACGTGGCATCACATACCAGAAGACAGTATGCTCATAGGCTCTGTTTGCCCCCTCCCATTTTGCTTGGCTTACTCTTTGACCTTGAAGAGGGAGGCAGTACATTTCTTTGAGATGTTTGACTCTAAAGTGGTCCCTTGTGACCAAAATTTTTGCATTCATATCACCTTGAGTGCTATACGTTTTGCATATCTCATTCTTGATTTATCCATCCCAGTGATATTTATGAGGCTCTCCTCTGTGGTCTAGTGGTCAGAGTGCCTGCCTACAGATCCAGAGGTCCCAGGTTCGATTCCCGGCGCTACCAGATTTTCTGAGAAATAGTGGGTCTGGAATGGGGCCCACTCAGCTACTTGAATGGAAAAGTAGCGGCTCTGGGCTAGAAAACCGAAATTAATGGCCATGGGGATCCATTGTGCTGACCACACAACACCTTCTATCCGCAAAAGTTGGCACTAACTTCACCGACAAGCAGTGGGTGCTTGGTCGTTATAGTTCGCTTGTGGACTACAGACCACGGAATTTCTTTTTGTTTTGATATCTACAAAATGGTTTTGAGTCGTATTTAAACATGTATGTTAATTACAAAAAGAAGCATAGTTTTTTTTGGTCCACATTTACAATAAATGTACCTAATGCTTTGAACTTCATGCAGATCCAATAAATATGCCATACCAAATTTTGTGACCAACACCACAAGGTCAAGATTGATGAAATAATGATTTGCAAAGCTTATCATAACTGTCACAAAAGAGTATGCTGTTATCTGAGAAGATGACTGAATCATAAGCGACTGAAAAATATCAGTTTTCTAACACTGCAAAATTATATTTTCCTTAAGTGATCAACTTTGTGGTAACAGAATACTACAATTTGACATCATTAATACCAGAGCTCAGCACTGCAGTTTTGTCCATAACAGAGAATAACTTACAGATCTTTTATGTCATCTTTTTTTTTATTATTGCTAGTGAGGTGGGTCTGAGTCCCTTGTACTGCTTCCACTTCTGGCCTGTTGTACCAGCCCCAGATGATAGGCAAGGGTGATTGTGGAGCAATTGGTGGAATGGAGATTGGCAGGGGAAACCGAAGTACTCGGAGAAAACCTGCTCCAGCGCCACTTGTCCACCACAAATCCCACTTGACCAGACCCGGGATCGAACCTGGACTTTATGTCATCTTAGTCATCCTACAAGATATGTCAGTGTACATGCCTAATATTATGTGGAACCCATTATGTTAATAATGTCCATGTAGCAAAGAAATTTGTGTTTCTTGGCCTAGACTGGCAGGATAATGATCAGAAGAGGTTGGAATAATGTGTTAAAATAGGCCATGACTACTTCTTGTGACATTTCCAGTGCGTTGTTCATATACGGTCAGCTGACGCATATACTGGTGCATGATCAAAATACACCTAGAAACAGTCATCACACCGTTTGTTGATGGCCTCAGTGGTTTAACCTTTAACATATATCTGACAAAAAGGAAAAGTTTGTGCTGTGTGAGAGTTCAAAGTAACCAGTAGCAACATAAGGTGAAGCACTTGACAGCCACCATAAAGTATAAATGACTAACAGTTTTTGCACAGCTTAGATGTATGAATAAAATTTGTAATAGTTTGGAATTTTAAAGAACCATACAAATCACAGTGAACAGGAGATGTTTGGTTTATGGCTTTTGCAAAATTAAGGACATTATGAGGACCTGATCATGTAGCTTAGAAGCAAGGATTAGAAATGCATAAACAAACTCGGTGAAATATCCTCTTGGAAAGCACTCAATCTGAAGATTGGTGGGAGGATAATATTAAAAATAATGAAAGGGAGATGGCTGAAATAAAATCTGGAATATCCTACATCAGGTGGAGGTTGCAGGTTCGTCCAAAACAATGATAACCATCTACAAGAATACACACTGTCATAACAAAGAGGACCTAAACTCCATGGCTTTTAGTCCACAAACGAACTATACCGACCGTGTGACCGCTGTTTGTCGGCGAAGTTAATGCCAACATTTGCAGATAGAGGATGTTGCTTGGTCAGTGCAACAGATCCCCACAGCCATTAATCTCGGTTTTATAGACCGGAGCCCTTCTTTTTCTGCATTCACATTCCAAAAAACATGAATGAAATGTCTACAAACCATTTCCTTACCATTCTTTTCCATTAAAAAGCATGATAAAAATTAAACAACTAAAAAGAGAGAAAATGTGAATAGGAAAAAGACAGAGAAGTAACATTTAGTTTAAAACTAGATAAATATTTCAGTAAAAAAATATTTTATTACAATGACATTAAATATGTGTACAAGAGTATCAATAAATGTTATATTTTTAGGTCATACTTTAAATTTTTAAGGTAAAGAATGACAATGTTTTGCATCTTTGTCAATGAGTAATAAAATTAATGTCACTGTAAAACTGAGTAACCATGCCATTTAACTGTATCAAGCCTAACAACATCAGGGAATGTGTTTAAAACAATACCCGATATATACAGATACTCATCTTCATCTCTTAACTTCTGTCAGCCATGCATTCCACTACTGCAGCAAGACATAGTCTAGCTGGCCAGTACTAATACTATTTAGAGTTAAAATTTGGCCACCAGTTGTACTGCATTTGGAGGGGGGTAATAATCCCCTATTTCCAGGCAGTAAACATAAAATCTGTTGCCAATTTCCAAATGTCATATTCCTGTTGAAGTTTAATTACAATGTGCTTAAAAATGCCACGAATTTAATATTCCTTCAGAATTCCACATTTCTTATACTAGGCATTATTTTATAATTCATTGGTTGAATTAGCACCTCATTATAACTTTATCTTATCATAAACTAATATATGTGTATATCTGATTTTTGGGTGTGTGAAATTTTACTACTTGAACTTCATTATCATTACTAATTTCATGCAAACTCTCATTCCCAACTGCTGGTTTGAAAATATCTTCCCTACATACTTTGGCACTGAAATCTCACAAAATTTCCATTGTGGTATTTAGGGAATTTATTGAACACACATTCTAATTCCTCATAGAAGTTGTCCTTCATATCATCAGTTTTATCCTGTGTTGGTACATGAACATTCAGAAAGATTATATCACACCAGGAACCTTTTAGTATTATGTATGACATCCTATCACTAAGAAACTCTGTACCCTCTTAAATGCTGATATGATTCTCTGATGTATGCAAGACCTGTACCTAATTCATGATTCTGAGTCCTCCTTCCATAGAAAAATGTATATTCACCTACTGGGTCATTGCCATCTCTGTCCCATCTGACCTCCTGTAGTCCCACTGAATCTAGCTTATATTTTGATAACTTCTTTTGCCACTGTCATGAGAGAACCTGCCCTATACAAACCTGAATAATAGTTGTACCACCACTAAATCATGATAAGTGTATTGACTTCTCTGACCAAATATCTGACTGCAGATGGATTATCGCTCAGTACATGACAGACTGTTGTTTGATGTGTGGCTATTTGAATCCTGACCACTAGTTTATTTACCACAGTGCTGAAGGTTATACCAGAAACAGTCAGGAAGGATACAGAGATATTGGGTTTTGGGTCCAGTGATTGAGGCTAGCTCTTCTAAGGGACCCAACAGAATAAGTGTTTTCCCTCATCTGAGGACGGAAACAGATCCAGTTTCCGAAACGTCGTGTTTTCTTAGTTTATCTTGAAACCAGGACGATGGATAAAGTCCCAAAACCCAATATCTCTGTGTGTTATACACCATCGTCAGACTCCTATAGTAACTACTTGTCAGGAAGGATGTTCTAAATCTGTATATTTTTCAGCACTTCGTAGTATGTGTTATGTATACACAGACTGCCTCTGTGGTCTAGTGGTCAGAGTTCCTGGCTACAGATCCAGAGGTCTGGGTTCGATTCCCGGCGCTACCAGATTTTCTGAGAAGTAGTGGGTCTGGAACAGGGTTCACTCAGCCTCGTGAGGATAACTGAGGAGCTGTTTCAAGGAAATAGCGGCTCCGGTCTAGAAAACCAAAATTAACAGCCATGGAGATTCGTTCTACTGACCATGCAACACCCTCTATCTGCTGAAATTGGCACTAACTTCACCAACAAGCAATGGTCACTCAGTCGGCATAGTTCACTTGCGGACTAAACCCATGTAGTTTGTTTGCTTGTTTGTTATGTATACATAACTTTAAAATGCAGGATGTAGTCACTGTTCCTCTTTAGTTCAGCACACTTGAAATTCTGTATGTATGTATGTCCACTCATACTCATACACATGTATATGATTAAGGTATTCCAGCACTTAGACATCAAGTCATGAAGATGTAAGATGGCATGGAGGAAAAGCTCCACACCTTCTTAATGTTTCCACTAGATGGGAGTGAGTTGTCAGCAACACTCCAGCCACTTTACCCAAATAGACTCCATTCAGTACCCACTGGATAAACGGTTGGGTGGGCTTCAGAACCACCCTGGCTGTGATGATGAGATCCTTATCCCTGCTGGGAACCAATTCATTGTCCATCCAGTAACTTTAATGACAGAGCTGTCCTGGTTAATATATATTCTAGCAGATTCAATTTACTCGTATGTACAACTGAAGAATTTCTAAATATGAGTATCTTAAACTTGCAGAATAGGAAAGAATTTTTACTGAATACTGTATGTTCATATAATTTTTATATCAAATAGATCCAATTCTGATCCAACTAAACACCAGGCATGAACTGAATTGTTGGGATGTTAATTCTGCCGCTCCTGAGCATGGATTAACGAATGTCTCCTCAACGCCTGACTTCCAGTATAACTCTTGCCACACACTTCACAAACATGAGCTTTCTGTCCAGTATGTTTTAACATATGTGGTTCTAACTGAGATTTCTGACCAAATCCTTTCCCACACACTGAACATACATATGGTTTGTCTCTGGTGTGCACTGAAGAGTGTCTTTTTAAGTCTCCATTCTTTATAAAACCTTTCCCACAAACAGAACACAAGTATGGTTTCTCCCCAGTGTGAGTGAGCATATGTGTTTTCAAATGACCACGTATAAGGAACTCTCTTCCACAAACTTCACAGACATATGGCTTCTCTCCTGAATGGGCAAGATGATGCGCTTTCAGACTCAAAGAATGTCGAAACTCCTTTCCACATAGCGAGCATAGAAATGGTTTCTCACCAGTATGTGTGAGAGAATGAGTTTTCAGATTGCCTCGCGTTACAAATCCTCTTCCACAAACCTTACAAACGTGAGGTTTTTCTCCTGAATGAGTGAATGCATGAGACTTCAAGCTCAAAGAATGACTAAAGGCCTTCCCACACAATGGGCATTCATAAGGCTTTTGTCCTGTGTGTTTCTGCATATGAACTTTAAGAGCATCACGAGCATTGAAGCTTTCACAACATACTTTACATACAAAAGGCTTATTTTCTGTGTGACTTTGAGTATGTGATTTGAGACTTACGGGATGACTAAATGCCTTGCCACACCTGGAACACACGTATGGCTTTTCTTTATTGTGAATGAAGGAATGCATTTTCAAGTTCCCACATGTACTGAAGCTTTTGCCGCATGTATCACAAATGTGTGGTTTTTCATCTGTGTGTGTTAAATTATGTACTTTGAGAGAGCATAACTGGCTGAATCGTTTGCCACACTGAGCACATATATAAGATTTTTCTTCTATGTGTGTGTGACCATGATTTTTCAGTTTACAAAGATTGCTGAATTTTTTTCCACACCTATCACAAATGTGAAGCTTACAACTTGGATCCTCTTCCATACATTCTTCATTTTCTTCAACCAATTCATCATTATTCTCTTTCTTAATAGAACGTTCCCAGGCTACAGGTGAAGGACATTCTGTTTTACCCTGAGAACAAGATACAGAATTGTTTTGTTACAATTACATAGTTTTATAACATGTATTGCAGAGGGCACTGTGAAAATGGGATAGACAATCCTACTTTATCCTGCATAAAACCCAAACATTATCCCTTTGACTTTTTATTTTTATGGCCCCTCATAGGATGTTCTACAGGAGAACCATTTTGAATCTGACAATGATGTGCAGATAGAGGTCAAACCATGACTGAATTTATATCATCAGCAATAAGAATTTTAAAAGAAATCTATATGTAAAAGAATTTTACCCTGCAAATGCCAAGTAAGGAACATAAACACGAAAGGATAAAAATAAATATTGCCAATATTATTAATATTACACTGGTGCAGTAAAAATACATTTTTTAATTGCATTATTAGTGGGTGGAGTTCTACCCTAAAGACAAAGGCAGAATGTTCCTCTATAATGTTCATAACCATTTATCAGACTACATGGTGCCATAATCCACAATACCACAATCTGAATATTCGCTGCCATGTAAACCTGAAATCTCATATACACCTGTTGCTTTGTGATGGATACAAAACACTTTGATAGATTATAATCTATTAATTATTAATTTCCTTTATGTCACTAGTGTAATACCCTCTATAAATCCAGTGGAAATTCTTCACATTGTTATGTAACTATGCTGTTAATGTCTGCAGGTTCAACAAAGTTTAGTTACAACAGTGAGCTTTTTAACACCTACACAACAGAACACCAAGGTGAGATTACAAAATACATGCATACTCAGGGTGGCAGTGACTTCTCAGAGCTTGCAGAAGACAATCTTCTGTAACGCCTCTATATACAAAACCTCTTTATTACAACCATCACAACAGAACAAATATCAAGATGAGTGCCTAGTTTCAGCTCTGCTACATGTTTTGGCTATCAGTAGCCATCATCAGGCAAAATACACGGTTAGCATGTATACACCACTGAACTGCAGTACTAGTAAAATTGGATACAGTACTATTAGTTATATAAAACACTTGACGTAAAAATACAATAAATCAGATTAAAACAGAAGTTATAGTATAAAACAAGAATAAAATTGTTAGATTGATGTTTTATAGCATCGAATCAGTCGTTGGTTCTGCAATTTTGTTGCGTTCCCATGGACAAATTGGAATATTCTATATTTTGTATTAATAATATTGTACAGGAGGCTCATGATGTAGATGTACTAAATTAATGTTAATCTGAAAATGATATGAAAGTAATAGTATTAAATTTTGTATAATCAACAATTAATTTTGGTAAGGAAGATATAGTGTATATTACTTACTGTTTAGTCGGTGCCTCATCTTACAAAGTATTGTCCGTTCTGTGGGGAATGTAAACAATGACTGATGTGGTGATGTAAGATTAAATTCAATGCACGGGTGGGAGGGGGGAGGAAGAGATAAGGTGTATGCAGAAGTGGTTGGAAGGGGGGAAGGGGGTATAACTGTATATTATATTTTGTATGTATCAATTATTACATCATATATAAGATTCCCCTCGTTGGGGAGGGATAAGGTGTCTCCACCTTATCGTGGTGAGGGTGTTTGAGTATGCCAAGGACCCTGAGAGCTATACCAGCGATAGCGTAGCTACTGGCAGGGCCTCCCTTGCTGGACAGGTCAAAGGGTAGTCATCAGACGAAGAGAGACACCGAAAACTGATGCCGGAAGCAGCGTCATCAGCGGCGACTTGAAGCACAGAGAAAATGATGCTCAAGATGGTTCAAGTTCGTATAGCAACAGGCGTGACCAGAGTGGTTTGAACGGCTGTTGTACTGCGATGTGGAAAGCAAATGGAAAAACTACCACATTATCACTTTTCCTGGATAGTCTCTTTCCAAAAACAGAAGATCGCATTAAGTGGAGAAACTGTTTTGGAAGAGGCTGTGGACCTGTCGTCTGACAGATTACTGATGAATGAATGAATATAAGATTAAACATTTGGGTAAAATTATCATTTAGTTGCATTGTATTTTTACATCAAGTGTTTCATATAATTAATAGTACTGTATCCAATTTTACTAGTACTGCAGTACAGTGGTGTATATATGTTAACCGTGTATTTTGCCTGATGATGGCTACTGATAGCCAAAACATGTAGCAGAGCCGAAACTAGGCACTAATCTTGATATTTGTTGTGTTGCGATGGTTGTAATAAAGAGGCTGTATATTGTAACACAACAGGATGCATGAAATGAAAATTACTTCTATATACTTTAACATCTTTAGTTGACATGAATGTTAGTACATGCCAAGAAACAAACAGTGAATTAGATTCTAAACGGTTCTGACAGTGGTGTATAATACCCAGAATTACTGGGTTTTTGGACTTCATCCATCATCTAGTACTCTAGAAATTAGAAAACAACGTTTTGGAAACTGGATCTGTTTCCATTATTATGTGGGTGAGAAGACACCTACTCTGTTGGGTCCCTTAGAAAAAGCTAACCTCAATCACCGATTGAGGTGAGTAGGTGTCTTCCCTCGCCTGAGGATAGAAACCAATCCAGTTTCCGAAATGTTTTTTCTACTTTGTAGAATACAGGACGATGGACAAATTAAAAAAAAAAACGGTAATTCTTACTAGAATTATTCTCACGTATCATTAAGTTCAGGTTCTAAAATAGAATTGATGTGAATCAAACATATTTCCTATAATTTACTGCTGTGGTGTAACAATAATCACCTGATACACTAAGCAGTAGACTGAGATGGAAATTTTATGCCAGCACAGTTGAACCCTAGACAAATATACAGACATTTGCTGTTGTATAATATGTGCAAATAATTATGATTAGCATATTCAAAATCATACTGCTTTTCAAAATTTTAAAGGTGGAAAGTATGACCACTGAGATATTCAATATGCATTTCTTTGAAAACAATATTCTGTGCTGTTTTTGGTCCCCTTGAAGGAAGAGAAAGTACTTGATTGAAACTACCTACTTTAGGAAGAGAAACATATAGCACAAGCATCCATTAAAACAGATTGGTAGACTTACATATATTCCAATTTTCTCAAATATTTGCTCTCAATTTCTTTGTTTTGTCATCTTCTAGGTCTTGAGTACACTTTCTTTCTATTCAGTCCTGTGAATATGATTGGTTTAAGGGTAGCATCAGAAGAGCACAGTGATCAGCATTAGTAACTCCAGAATATAACAAATTTAGTTTGCACGTGTATGAATGTCACTTTCTTGATGATGAAATATCTGACATTTTACATGTGATGTCCATTTTGTTATTCATAACATATACCAGATCACTCAATTTAAATGGCATATGTTACTTTCATTTCTAGCATTTGGATGGAAAGAGTGGACTATGGTCAATTTAGCTTACAAATTTCCATTTGAAAGTCTCCTTACTTTCAGTAAATTTGGAATCTTAAGTATGATAATGACTGCTAACAGAAAGTCTTCGCTCCTACATCTAACAGAGCTGGTGTTGGCCCAACATAACCTAAAAGACTTGCCATACTGCCTTGTTCCAACATTGTAAAACATAAAGGACTTACAGAACTGATATATAGTCACATTTTTAACCATCAAGTTCTCAGTTAGGTAAAGTAAAAAAAGTAAAGCTATCCCTGTACCAGGCCATGAAGGCCCAGAGGGTTGTGAGACGTTGAGGGTCCCACATTATCTAGACAATCCGCTCAAAGATGGCGGTAAGGTTGTCAGCCTTACGCACCGGCTGTGCTTTACTCCCCAGGAAAATTATTTAATTAATTCCTGGTACTCATTTCTGTTAGAGGCTGAGTGAACCCCATGGCCATAGTGCGGCTGGAAGGATCAGATAAATTGAAAAAAAATCCATTGACCTCATCGTGACTTGAACCCGCAACCTTAATTAAATCATAAATATTTTGGATGGCCACCATGTTGTTCATGAGTCACATGGTTTGTTTATTTGTTTACTTGTTAGCCTAAGTAATGATGTCTGACCATCAGCACAGGTTACACGTCATATAATGGAAGGATGAATTAAAAAGAAGTGTGAAGTCCTTGTGTCTTATTTTGACATACTACACCACTGGCATCCACTTGTATGGATGGAGGAAAATAAAACCTGTCATGATAGTTGGTAGATTGCATTAAACAGGAATAAAAACTGCAACATTCAATATGTAATAAGGCACTGTAACATACAGTCATAATCTACTTTAAGGACTAGCACTACCATGCAGAGGGACTAGATTAATGTGACCAGATTTTAAAGAGTAAAAAATAGGACATGTATTTTTACATATTTGATATATGGTGCTTGGTGGTCATATATTTCCACCTGATATGGATGGAGTTGGTTCCACTTCTTGGGCAGATATTTTGTTTGATAGTTTGTACTTATGCATTACATTAATTCTATACATGGTTAACTAATCAGCTGCTTCAACGTTTAAGTTATGAAATTCAGTCCCTCTGGTTTGAACTCCCTTTCTTGGAATAAAATATCAGTTTAGCATAGGCATTCACTTTTAGACTTCTAAGATACGAAGTATCATCATAAATGGTATATACTTAAAAGTTTGTAATTCCTCTAAAATTTGTTGCATGGCAAACGGAGCCAAAACATTTACAACTGATTCACGTTTTGTTTGACCACCTGTAAGTGTCTGTTCATACAGTCTTTTTGTCACTAAGGATGTACAGTTCATAGATTCAAAAGCATGCTTATGTTTGATCATGTGGAATGAAAATAATCTTTCTTCAGCTGCAATGTGTCTGTACTCACTGGTTATTGTTTGTATGGTAAAATAAGATGTTACTTTATGACTGCACTTCTTTTTACAGCAATTGGATGCTTTATTTTTCTTGTTGTGCTTCATATATCACAATGACCTCTGTGTTATACACAGAATACTGATTTTCAAATGGTACACAGCATGTTTTCCCACTTACTGATTTTCCTTAAAAAGTGTGTACTCAGTCTTTTTTCAATTTTCAGCATTTTGATATTTCTTTCCCAAACAGTGAGAAATATATCAAAACATTTACATTCTGCAATAACTGCATGCCTCGTGTGAATCATCAACATATGGGCTATGACACAGTTGTGCTTATGAAATGGGTATGTAAAATAAAATTTTCATGTAACTTATAAATAAAATGGCATTTTTGGAAAATATGGAACTATTTGGCATTCCATTTAATTCTTATCATGACAAGAGGATACTCCAATCAAAAACAGGATGATCCCATTACAAACAGGCTGTCTTAGTCACCCTTGATTAGATTAAAGCCATGAAAACCTTTTTGTTCCCATAGGTGATAAAACCCAGGTGTTTCACTCATACAAAGCAACAGGAATAGTACCTCCTATACCATAAATTCAGGCAGTTTATTATCATACTTGTATGCCATATGGAACTATTAAAAATGCTTGCTGAAATTTCAGTTGGAAATTGTTCACTTCTAACCTAAATAATCTAACGTGGGAATATGTTTAATCTTGCCCAGTGCTATAATTAATGCAATTATTTCTTAATTGCAGTCCTGTATTTGTAAGTGGCAATGTATTATATTATTATTATTATTATTATAGAAGAGCTGTTGGGAGAGGTGTTCTCTGTGTGGTCCATGCTGAGGTGTTATAAGCAGGACAAGTCCACAGTTTAGTCAGTTATGAGACAGTCACTGGGTAGTAAGGGCATGAACATGAAGTTGAGGGATCTGTGACATTGGAAGTAGTGACTGACTGGTGAAGACACAGGAGACTAAGAAGACTTAGTACATGCTGTAGTGAACCGCAGAATGTGTGAATTAGCATTAGCACTATAGTTATTCGTAGTTAAAGGTTGTGTGTACTGGTGTTCAATAAATCCAATTACCACTCCAAACCCCATCTATAGTCACTCCATAAAATCATGACATTATTAAACAAGAGACCCAGTACTCTTATATGCTTCTCCAGTAAGCTATATGTTATATACTTAAGAGTTATTATGAACTGAAACTTGATAAAATGTCATGAATAGCTGATATTTCAATGTTTCAATCAATCAATAAAGTATTGGTGATGTAATCATGTAACTGTACAAAGTGAGAGAATGAAATTACAAATTGGTATTAAGATTCCCATTATCACAAATCTTAGGAACCATGACAGCACAGTCAGTAAAGTAACTGGATGGCCAGAGTTCACTTCTCAGCCAGGTCACTGGAATTCTTACTTTTAGCACTGTACCATTGGCAACGACAACACAAACTTGCTCACTTCCATCTAACAAGTCTGGAAGTGAATGTACTTCTGTATTTCTAGGTACCTTCATTATGTACAGTAAAGAAATGCTATCTTTACCTTACTATTATTGCACTTTATTCCACCTACTTTGCAGAACAATGAAGACCCGCAAATGATTCTTGCTTTTGTCTTGTATGGCTGTGAAACATGTTCTCTTACTTTGATAGAAAAAACGTTAATTACAGATCCATATTACTGAGTTTCTGGATATTGTCCATCATCTAACATTCTAAGAATACCGTGTTTCAGAAACTGGACCTGCTTTAGTCCTCGGGTGAAAGGATTGGCAGACTCAAACTCAGTTGTGTCTGTTACATACAGCTACGACTCAATTAGCACTAACTAATGAACCTGACTGAGTAGGCACCCCTTACCTTTTCACCAGAGGACAGAAACAGATGCAGTTTCTGAAACTTTTACTTTTTAAAATATTAGATGATGGATCAAGTCCAGAAACTCAGTACATCCAAGTGTATTACACCATCAGAGCCATTTAGAAATGAATTACAAGTGCATGAAATGGTGCTCAGGAAAATGGTCAGAACTAAACAAGATGGCAGGAAGAGTGAAGGATATTACATAATGAGGAACTTCTTGAGTCATTTAATCCTACTCATAGACCAGAAAAACAAGGTTATGATGAGCCAAACACATAGCCTGGGTGTCAGAGGTAAGATTGTTTACAGAATTCTGGTGAGGAAACCTCTTAAAGTAACCAACTGGAAACAAAAAGGCAGGGGAATAATATAGGCTGTCCAGATGAAAGGTATCCAAAATAAAAAATTTATGTCGGAAACTAACTGTCATACAATTATCTGGTTTATGCCATTGGAAAGGAAATCTCTTAAAGTTTTTTCTTTTTTCCATGCCCGGCTTATGCGCATATGCCGCCACATTTTTGCCGCCATGTTAGGAATCATCTGGAAAGAGAGATGGCTGGAATATGAATTGAAAGAAGTGGACCAATCACTTGGCCTCCTAGGTTGCCAAATTTAACAACAGTGGATTTTTTCTTGTGGGGTTATGTGAAGAACATTGTCTACCAGGTTAAGATCAACGAGCTTCAACACCTGAAAGCTCACATAAGGGACGCTGTGGCTACAGTAACACCAAACATGTTTCAAGCCTCAATATTTCTCGTGCCACCAAGGGAGCCCATATTTCAATTCATTGAGAAAGTTATTTATGCAGAAAAAAAATAATAGTTTCCCTTTGTAATGGTGTAACCCATAAATGTGTATAATAAATTCTTTCTTACATATGTGATTTTATTTTGGGTACCTTTCATCTGGACACCTGTACAACCTGAAGGAAATATGTTGCAAGGATCAGGAGATGATGGAAGGGACTCGGTATCCTTCCATATCAGCAATGTAGAACCTTCTCTTCTGGTTATATTATCAGAGAGTCAATATACTTAAAAACTTTCCTACTTGTGCCAAAAATTCCTGTGGCTTCACAGAGTGCAGGTATTCTCGCAAGTTTGCATCTGACCTTTCACACTGTATCTTGAAGTTATAACAAATGTTGACTTGTTGGACACACTGCTGGCATACCTGTGCTGGCAGACCATCTCCAGCACATACCTGAAGTATGATACCAAAGTCATGAACATAAATGTAATCATGTTACGGGGATAATTACTGATCTTGAAACTACAGCAGACCTTAGCTTACAATGCATTAGTTAGAACACTTGACATATCAAAGAAGTTGCAACTGAACACATGTAGGAAGACAACTTTCTTATTCAATATTTGGATTTTCATCACTATATCCCCTTAATAAACTGAATATTTATTTAGTCATGGTTTATCTGATGGCACTATCACTAGTTCATGCTATATAGTGTCAAATGTTAGGATGATATTATATGAAATTGTTCAGACTATCAGGGTATAATCAAGGATGACAACTGTCACTTGCAGAAGACCATCTGTTTTGTGTGAAGTTAATTATTAGAAGAGCTGTTTGCAAATATAAGTAGCACAAAACATTTGTTACATTCTTGATAGCATGATTTGTAAGTTGTGGATATTTTTCCTCTGACAGAGGAATTAGAGAGAAAAGTGATGACACTTTCATTTGCAGTTTGAAACATGCAATATGGACCGTTATTTCGGTATTTTCTTGTTAAATAAGCAGGAGGTGAATTATATGAGTTATGTACATTGTCATATATCCATGGTAACGTGTATGCATATTGGTGGAAAATAAGTTCGACAATTTCATGGAACTCACAAAATACTGGTGCACTAGAAGAAGTGCCATGTCTCAAAAATATTAGGAGGGACTGGGGAAGTAATAAATACTGTACTTTTACATATTTATTAAGAACGTATTTATTGGAAGGGCCTTAATTTTAAATACATATAACAAAACATTATACATAAATAACCAACCTTAATGCAAGCAGAAATTGCTTCAATTTTAGCAGGCAAACCATTTTCCACTTCAAACAGAGGTAGCAGTGAATCTTCGTCTTGCATGCAAAGTCTGCAAATGTTCCTTAAGTCTAGGGCCATATTTTTTACACCTTAAATCGGTATTTAACATAAAATATATAGCAACTATAACCACACTACCAGCCATGTACATACACAATCAACCACGGTGCCAAATATGTACACCAACATTCCCTTTGTATTCAATGAAATTCCCTTACGTGATCGAACATTGTTAACGATTTAAGCACCCTGCGGGATGAAGCAGTTTCTATTGGGCAATGGGTATGCTGTATAAGGGATTAACGCAAGATTCATTGCCCATTCTGTTGGGCGAGTGAAAGCAGGTGTTCCCTTGATAATTTTTAATTTTTGTATTGACTTTGTAGTGAGATAGTTTGTGATAATAGTAAAAAACGGTAACATCGATCATGACTGAGCTTAATGCAAAGGTAATGAACGTTTTTCGTTAGTTTTCATGCCCAGTGTACATATTAAATTCATGTAATGGAGACAGTACGTAGGTAAGGAGAGGGCGTAAAATTTTCGTCAAGATTTCATGGCTTATACAAACAACCAAAGTTTAGCAGCCTGTAAGCACCTAATTGTAAGAATGAAAAGCGCAAACAAGGTAGATATTACGGTAATTTAATGTCCATATGTTGGAGTGTATTAAATATTGCTATCTGCCAGCATGTGACATTTAAGTACACAGTGTTTTAATTTCTTTACACAACTATAACCTGTATAGTAGCTTCTTGTATTTTAGACTCATGCGAATACCTCGTATGTATGGAAGGAGGATTTCCTGTATGTTTCATCATGACTGGTACAAACACATGCCGCCCATCTTAAAAAGAAAATAATAACATTGTTTATGATTCAGGGTACAATGCCACTACCCAAAACGTTATTGTTCACAGAACGTGATGTGTTTTGCGTTTGTAGTACCAACTTAGGTCGCCGAATATTCATCATATTTCTTTGAGAACAAGTTGCATTACTTGAGTTTCGTTTTCCCATGTAATAAATTTAATTCGTGTACTTTGATGAACACAGCTAAAGTGTCCTTATTTTAAATTTACATATTTATTGATTTGATTGGGGTTTTGGTATGCTGGAACAGGTTAAGTCTTGTTAAAACATTTCTGGCATATCATAATACCATGACTTATATCGCAATTACAATTTTCATCTTTAAAGGGCCAGAATTTCTTGTTCAGTATGTATTTGATCACACTGAATATTATAAGCAGAGTTAGTATACACATTCTCTTGTGATTTTTATTATTCTGCATACTGCAAGCACTGAAATTTGTTACTGTTGTGTATTGACGAAGCTGCAAATGATTTGCATTGTGTATGTTGTTACATTTAAGCTGTTTTTCTTTGTTCATAAATTGTATACTTTTGCTCAAGATTTTTCAAAAGTGAAGTGTTAGTGATTGAAGTTCTTGTAATTTGGTTGTGTTTATTTTAAAGCTGTTGAGTTAAAGTTGTAATTAAATTGTGTGTTGGACCTAATCAGTCCATAGACAAGCAAAAAATCTTAAGTTCTTCCCCATAGTAAAGATAAATAAAAGTAGTTGACACCATAAGCCACGTTCAAAAATAGTGTTTTCTGTTTACTGTAATCACAGTTAAATTAGTAAATTTAACTAATTAGCAGTGACAACTAACATTAATATTGTATCTCTGTATTAGTTCAAAGCAGTTGGTATACTGTATCGTATGAAGCAAAAACAATTTAATGTTCCTTCTTTTAATTTTTTAGATTTCTTATGTTATGGTAGTGAATTTTCTGCCTCCAAAAGTATATGTTTTTTATGGTTTTCTATCATTTAGTCAAATTTTGTATAAACCTTGTTACGAAAGTTATATATATAGGGGATGTTTGAAAAAAAGGTTCCTCAGAAAGCAGACCGAGATTTTCATACCTGCTGTAGACTGCAGTATGGCGAACAAATCATAGCATATATTCTGTAGGTCATCAAACATTCCATCCATTATTCTCTCAGTTGTTACCCATCGTCAGTATAGTCATCAGATTCAGGAAATGCTTGTTATTCTGGTCAAAACTGTTATCCTGTCTGTTTTCTGAAACACTTGGTGTCTGTTTATATAATAATAATAATAATAATAATAATAATAATAATAATAATAATTTTGTCAGTTACTTTGCATGACTGTGAAACACCACCTTATACTTTGATGCATAAATTACAATTATCCAAAAATCATGTTTTGGGGGAGGGGGGGGGAATATTTTGATCTGTAAGAGATGCGAATAGATAGCAGTTTTGGATATTCGTACAGAGAAAAATGATTTATACAGTACATATCTGTAATTGTGTTATGATGTGTGGGACATGTGGTTTGGGAGAGGCAGATAAGAAATGCATACGATTTTTTTTTTTAATTGTTTCATTTTTGGTCCGTTACACTATCAATCACAGAGTTAGTAGAGAGTCCGTCGAGTGTAACAATTTGTAGGTCACTTTTTTAATATCACTTCTGCCTTACA